CTTTTTATAAGCTGGTCCAGGGAGCTTCACGAAGATAACATTTCAGTTGTGATACGTTATTAAGCTTTGGAGATGAAGCCTGCCTCTAAGACTATTTCTTCTACATTTAGTTCTCCTTTAAGAGATAACATTTTGGTGTCATATCAAAAATACTGAGCACTTTATACTTTTTATTAGGGCTTTCCAGGGACTGCGTGGTAAAGATTCCACCTGCTGATGCAGGAGACCTGGGTTCCATCCCTGCTTCAGGAAGATCCCCTGGAGGAGGAAATGGCAACCCACTCCAGTACTCTTGCCTGGGAAATCCCATGGACAGAGGAGCCTGGCGGGCTACAGTCCGTGGGGTCCCAGTGAGTTGGACACAACTGAGCGTCTGAGCACGCACACATACTTTCTACTCAGATTGTGGATTTTATTTAGTTTCGATTCTTGCCAATGTCAGAGTAGTCAGGTTGGCTGAAGAGGTATGACCAGTTAAGAATAAAGAAGGATAACCAATGAATTCATCAGAGTTTTCCCATTTGACAAAAGACAGTAAGAGCAATCAGTTCGTAGATAAGTGTTGTCTTTTTTTCAGAGTTTTCTGTAAATCATAGCTGGGAAGGTGGTTAAAAGTTATAAGATATAGAAAAGAGAAATGCAAAATGGCCTTCCATGCAGCAATATGACCTAGAGGGAATGCTTGCTTTTACAGTTCATGTCGGTCATCCTGATTAGTTGCTTAATCTGATTACTGTTCTTTGTGTTCCATATGTCAGATTCATGGCTTTAAAAAAAAGCAGCCCCGATTTTAGCTCCAGTGTGATTCAGCAGTTCATGAAACATAGAGGTTTTTCAGGTAGTGTTTTTTTTTTTTTAAAGATAATATACTTTTCTTAATGGGGTAGATGTCCCATAAATTTTTAAAGCATTAGAATCAGTGATTCTGGGAGTAGGAGGGTTAGCTGTGTATCAGAATGGGGGTAATTCACATTTTCTTCCCCCACCACCAATCTCTACTCATGACGAGAGATGTTGCAGCGGAGAGTTATGACTGTAAATGGTCTGAACGTGGAGAAAAGGCCGAAAGCCGCTGGCTTAGATGAATGGTAGGGAAGCAGGGGTCCCCAGTGAGACGTAGGTTAGTAGTTGGTTGAGACAAGGATCTGGTGCTCCAAGCCAAGTAAACATCTTTCTCTGTGATTACCTAATTTATTTCCTCACTGGGGCCATGGAGACTTATAGCCAGACAGTCTTTTGATTCTAGACACTGCAAGGCAGTTCACTTTGGTGAATTTTACAGATTACATTCCCACTTGGCTCCTTGGTCACTAAATCTCGCTAAACCTTCTGAAATCCGTTCATTTCTCTCTTACATTCTTTCCCTTCCTTTTATTGCTACATTCTGAATGATGACCCCATAGTTCATGAGCAGAGCTGGTTAGACTCATTAGCCAGAGTAAGTATTGATGGCAATTAGGAAGTCACATCCAGAAGAGATTTTAATTCCCTGAAGTAATAGCAACAGTCTAGGGAAAGCTGTGCCCTTGGGAGGAAGGCAGGAAGCCTGCTGCTGTGAACTGAGGTTTATGCCCAGGAGTTGGTGCTGGTTCTGGGCAGGGCCCCTCTATTCTCTGTCTTGTTACTCACTCACTTTGAAGGAGATTCAAAGGGAGGTTTAATTTGATGCGCCATGAACTGGGAGTCGGTTCTGAGTTCTGAAGAAGGAAGTAATAGAGAGCTGGGTGCATTCCTGCTCATTAGATACATGTTTTTATAAAGAAATTCTGTGTGGCTGATACTTGTTGAAAGTGCTACCACCTTATACCTCATGAACTAAGATAGTATATGTGAAAGAACTCTGAAAACTATGAAATGGTGTTTAAGATGCCAAGTTTTATTTTTAAAGCTCTCCTGTAGAGTGGGCACTAGGGCTCTCGAGTTGAGAGCGGGACAGGGTCATGGAGGCTGCCTGGCTCGTTCAAGGTCGTGCAGCTCAGTGGTTCCCTGGGGGTCGAGCCCGGGGCTTCTGACGCCACTGCTGCAGCTTTCTACTCACCTGTGCTGATGCTCCTGGAAGTCATCTGTTAGACCGGGTGAACCTAACTTGTGGTTCCTTATGTGAGTGGGTTAATTTAAATCATAAAACTATAATTGAGAGAAACCCAAAGATCAAGGTCTCAGTGATTTAAAAAGAGTTTTGCCCTGTCTCTAAATTAAAACATCCTGACTCTTTTCCTGCATCGTCCTGCCGTTCCTGATGGGTCTCCAGACCAGCCTTGGTCTTCCACACCCGACAGCAGTCTGCTTTCCAGCCTCGCTATGATCTCAATACAAAGCAAAGTGCATGCTCTTGACTGAGAGTGTCTAGGCTCCAATACTGCCTGTACACTTTGACCTCTGAGTTTTCTCATCCATCAAATGGCCATGTTAATATGCCTGTCTCAAAGGACTGTTGGGCAGGCTAAGTTCATCAACACGTGTAAGTGAGCTCCTACTGTCTCTATATAGCTAGAGATAGGGAGAAGGAAATGGCAACCCACTCCAGTGCTCTTGCCTAGAGACTTCCGTGGACAGAGGAGCCTGGTGGGCTGCAGTCCATGGGGTCGCAAAGAGTCGGACGCGACTGAGCGACTTCACTTTCCCTTTTCACTTTCATGCATTGGAGAAGGAAATGGCAACCCACTCCAGTGTTCTTGCCTGGAGAATCCCAGAGACGGGGGAGCCTGGTGGGCTGCTGTCTCTGGGGACACATAGAGTCAGACACGACTGAGGCGACTTAGCAGCAGCAGCAGCCGCTAGAGATGTTTGCAGGGAGGATTCTGCCATTTGTATTTTTCTTAAAGGATTGTTGGTAATCTGGAAGACATCTGTGAGGACAGTGTTGAGTGAAATGGTGATAAAATGATGAATATAGTTGATAGATCATTGGCGCTCAGTAAACTTCCAGAATCATCTCTCTCCTCTGATCTCCTTGTCTGCTTTTCTCTCATCCCTCTAAGTCATCGATAATTGGTTCAGGCTTTAGTATAGCATTTAACACATTTGTACTATAATCTATTTAATTATGTGCCTTCCCCCATAGGGAGTTTTCAGTGCCTGTCTGGGGGTCCAGGGAAGCCGGGAGAATGTGGTGGAGTTAACGCTTTCTCTGCCTCCTTTGTGGTTAAACCTCGCCTCCATCTTCAGCCACATCACCTGGATCAACTCTGAGCCTTTCCAACTTCTAGGCCTCTGAGTTTCTTCTCCTTTTGTGTTGTTTCCCTAATGTCCCTTACTCGCATAGGAAATCGTCCTTGTGATCCCCAGAGACAGAGAGAGCGTGGAGGCCTTCATCAGCGAGCAGAGCGCTCAGGCTGGGCTGCTGGTGTCCGTTTGGGCCACTGGAGGAGTCTTCGTGCCCTTGGCCGAATAGCAGGCATTCTGCATCGACTTACTCTCCGTGGCCCTTTTTCCTTTGACTTTTCTTTTCCTGGTCAGACGTTGTCTGCAATCACTTCTAGTGAACATTTTTACCCCTTTCTATATGGAACTTATCTTGTGCGTCTCCTTCACTTTAACTTTCAATCCTGCCTTGTTATATCCAGCTCATTTTTTATCTCCCAGGTGGACTGGCAAGAATGAGCTCTGGCTTCTTTGTGAGACCTTGAGCAAATTACACGGCATATCTGAATTTGTTTCCTTATCTGTAAAATGGATAATGACGCTTATCCACCTCCCTGAGATGGTTGTTGTGGGACTCAAATGAGATAATGGGTCATTTAGACATGTACACCAATAAATAAAAGGAAGGATAGAGAGGTTACTTCTTCTGTCATCTCATTGCCTGTATTGATATCTTTCTGTAAATGTGACTGTGAGATCTAGGAAATTTGTTCTTTTTCCAGCTCTTTCTTATGCACACTGGCCTTCAGTTCAGTCGCTCAGTCGTGTCTGACTCTTTGCGACCCCGTGGACTGCAGCACGCCAGGCTTCCCTGTCCATTGAATTCTCCAGGCAAGAATACTGGAGTCGGTTGTCATTTCCTTCCCCAGGGGATCTTCCTGACACCCAAGGATCGAACCCAGGTCTCCTGCGTCGCAAGTAGAGTCTTGACCGTCTGAACCACCAGGGCCTCCCTGGACTCTCCCTTTCTGGCCTAGTTTAGCCGTGTCCTCTCATGTTGCTGTGGCGTGTCATGCTAAAGAAATTGCTCATCCTTGCCTGGTGACCAGGTGATTTACACATTGCTTCCACACATATTCTTAAACAAATATTCTAGGGTATTCTTTTTGGATTTTAGAGCTGTAGAAAGCAAGGATCTTTTTTCTTTCTTTCTTTCCTTTTTCTGCTTCTTAGTAACTTTCCTAGTGAAACATGCTGCAGATTGAGTGTTCAGAGGTTGCTGACTATAAATGTGTGAGTGTAGATCTTTTATAAATAAATTTGTTATGAATCTTTTTTTTTTAAACCAGTGGACTTCTGTTTAATTTGGGATAGAAAAAAACCCGAGTTTTTCAGCACCTGGCACCAATATGTATTACATAGTCTATTTACAAACATTTCTCAGAGGACATTACAGTCAGAATTAATTTCTTATCTTCAGCCACTAATCCCATTATGTTTATGCAGAGCAGAAGGGTTTATGGTATGTGGATTTTCCTCCTCCCCAGGTGATTAAAGTCTGAATGTTTTAACCACCATGAACTTATTTTTGAATATAAAACATTTCCTTGGTTTAGATGTAAAATTATTTTTAATTCCTGAGATACTGTGACTTCATTAAATACATTGATATCTTCTCTGTGCTCTAAGTGAGGTTAGAGTAATTAGAATTTTCTGATAATAGAAAATTTAGCACTCTTCCCTGGATATTAGTTTTACAGAACTCCTGAGTACACTTTGGGGGAAAGATTAGAGTTAATGTTTGGGTTTTTATTGAATGATTTTTAGTCTACCTACAAATACTTGGTTAATTATTAAGGCTTTTTATTTTAGAAACTGTATTATCCTAAAGATGTTTACTACTTTCTTAATGCTTTCCAGGAACCAGATCCTGCATTGCCAGTGTCTCAGGTAAAGGTTTATCTGCAATCTTTAGTTTAGAGAATAGTTTAGTTACTACTACTTAGTTGTTGCTATAGATTAGTAAGTTTGCTGTGTATCTACTGTGCTGTTATAAAATTAGCTAAATCTACCAGGCATTCTGTACCTTTGTACATAAATGTAAACTATTATATTTTCAATCCTTTGCGTCTACAGGTGTAACACTAGGGCACTCTACTCATGAAGACTTGGAGCTTAAATAGAAATGACCAATACTGACCCAGAGGATGAGATACAAAAGAGGAGGCAAGGGGAGCTGGGGGCTTAGAAAGGGAGCCAGAACATCCGCAGAGCCAGGAGTGTCCGGAAAGACTGTGATGGATGGGATTGTTGGTCCTGAGCAAGGAGGAGGCTGACTCTGCTTGGAAAGGTCTTGTCTTTAGAGAGAGGTGCCTGCCACCGTGAGGAGGAAAGGAAGATGTGGCCAGACAGCCACATCTCCTGAATCAGCTTTGTTAGAAAGGGAGAGGCAGCCAGAAAGCGCTGCCGACTGGGTGAGACGGTGGATGAATCAGAAGGGAACCCAGGAGGAGGAGGTCTGGGTTGGGGGGCTCCTGGCCAGTGAAGTTTTTAGCCCAGGAGGGTTTCTAGTAAGTCTGGGAAGAAGGAGAGGGGATGAGAGAGATGTAAATCAGAGAACTTAAATCTTACCAGGTGTTTGCCCTGCCAAGCGAGAGAAAACTGTCTTTTAGGTAAATAAACAGTTTGAATCTCATGGGGTTCAAATGTGTAGTCATCAGACCTTTTAGAAGAAAGCAGTATACAAAATACTCTGAAGGGGGCCTGTGTGGTGTCAAACAAAGATGCTGGATAGGTTAAAACGCACTACTCTCTTCTTTAAAAGGGTGACGTTTGTCGTTAGAGTATTCATTATAGTTCCTGTATTGATAGATGTGCAGAACTATTTTTTTTTTGCATGATACATGTACAAGTCATCAGAAGGACCTGATAACTGATATAACTGATATAACCTGATAACTCTGATATAAGCAGAGTGAGTAACGTGCCTTTTGTTTTCAGTAATTTTGCAAGATTTTGATTAAAATTAAGATTGAATTAAAACATCAACCGTTTGCATTGTTGGTCTGGTTTTAAAACTTTACATGGGATTTGAAGGTTTCAAAACCAGCGCAAGGCTTCGTGAAGGACCTGCATTTGGTATGTGCTGTCCTGTTACTGCTGACTTGACTGGACCGTGATCTAAAAGAATCAGAAGGGAGCAGGGCTGACTGGATCCTTCTGAGCCCACTGTTCCCACGCTGTGGCTTTGTGCTGTCTCGGGTTTTTAACCGCTTCAAAGTAAATGAGGCTTTACAGTAACAGCTCAACGTCTCGTGCCTGAGTTTTCATTCTCCTGGAGTAGGCAGAGTGTCAAATGTTACTGATTCTCATGATGTCTAAGTGAGGTTAGACAGACCATTCTTTTGGTGGCTTTATTCTAAGAATAACTCAGGAGAATTGTTTCTTGCCAGCCTTAGGCCTTACATGGCTTTGCGTTCTGTGTTAAGAGGAACAGAACAATTTAAACATGTTTTACTCAGTCAGTAGAGTTTTAACCTTTTCATTTGTCTATTTTTATCACTAAAATTGGGTTAACCTCCCAGAAGGTAGTACAAGTAAGTCAATATTTCCCTGATGTTAGCAGGCAGATATATGCCTCTAGAGTAATGTCTTATAGACTAACTCAGTAGGTGAATGAGTTGGAATTATGTTTCACAGATAAAAAAGGAAATAATTGATGTGATAATTACTCATTTATTAAGGAGAATCTCTGTTTTTCTATGAAAAAACTCCTAAGCATCTATTATTTTTTTATCAATTTCACAGTACTTCCAATTCATTGGTATGCAAGTTTATTTGGATAAACCACATGACCCTGTCGTTTATTAACAAGTGTATCTGATAGAAACAATTTGCAATTTTATTTAGATTCTAGTGGCAGTGTAGAATTACCAGTTTGCTTTGTTATGCATTTTATTTCACCAATTAGTTTTGAACTTAAAAATTTAAACAGGAAGAAGAATTTAGGGTTGTAAAACGTATGTGGCTTTCCTCCAAAATAAAATGTTTTCATTAAAATTCCAAGAATTGTTCCTGTTGCCCATAGCAGTTCCTTGAATACAATCTGATGTTTAATCAAGCAGTGACATATATCATTTTCAAGGGCATTTTTTGTTGGGATAGAAGGAAAGTTAGGAATATTAATATTCTCAAATACTGATTAAATTTAAAATTAAATAATGGTGTAAGTAGATTTTATCGCAGATATTTAAATATCAGGAATTCACATGATTATCTCTACTTCTTAAGAGTGAGATTTTAGAAATGGAAACAAATATAAATACTTTTTTGACAAAATGAACTCTTATGGAATAAAATTTTAAAAAATAAATCTTCCTATTTGGCTTCTGAAGCATATATTCATTTGGTGAGGGAATAGTGGATTTACTTTCCTGTCCTGATATAAAAAAAGCTGCCCTTCCTTAACATTTGAGACTTTACTAGGAGGATGGAAGTCAAGAAGCCTGATGGATTGGACTCTGAGGTGACAGTATGGGTATGAAAATGGTTTTACAAAATGTGTGCATTGATAATTGATATCCAGCTGTCTAAGTGATACTATACTAATAAAAACGTGGCTTTTAGAAAGCTAGTGTAACTAGGGTTCCCAATCACACGCACGTGCCCTACACCCGAGCCTCCAGGTTCTGCCCCTGCAGAGATGCTGCCGCCTCTCCCACCTGTCTCCCTCCTCCGGGCGGTAACTGCTGGCGTGNGCAGAGATGCTGCCGCCTCTCCCACCTGTCTCCCTCCTCCGGGCGGTAACTGCTGGCGTGTCCACTGGGTGCCGGCCCCTCAGTGCCAGCTGCTGTCCTGCCGTCCTTTTCAAGGGCCTGAGAAGGCGAAGGCACCCCACTCCAGCACTCTTGCCTGGAGAATCCCAGGGATGGGGGAGCCTGGTGGGCTGCGGTCCATGGGGTCGCGAAGAGGCGGACACGACTGAGCGACTTCACTTTCCGTTTTCACTTCCATGCACTGGAGCAGGAAATGGCAACCCAGTCCAGTGTTCTTGCCTGGAGAATCCCAGGGATGGGGGAGATTGGTGGGCGGCCGTCTCTGGGGTCGCACAGAGTCGGACACGACTGAAGCGACTTAGCAGCAGCAGCGGGACTGTAGGATTAAAACTGTTTTGTGTGTGTGTGTTTACATATTTGTGTGAAAAGCATCACAAACCTACATCACAGTACAGTACTCTATAGCCGGTTGTGTTAGCTGGGCCCCTGGGCTAACTTTGTTGGATGTAGGAACAAGTTGGACCTCTGTGCTCTTGAGACTGAACTCGTTCGTGTGTAGGGGACTTCCTGTCCTGAAAGTTTACTAGCTCCTCCTCCTCAGGGGGGAAGGCCACATCCCTCTCTGGCGCAGACAGGGTCCCGCGTTTGCCCTCGACTTTTCCTCCAGCTTCTTCCCAAGCAGCTTCTCCTCAGCCAAGCCCCGCCCTTTAGTTTCTCCAGATCGGCTCCTAAGTGGGGCTGCCTCCTCCTACTCACATCACCTGGCAATCGCTCTCCCGTCTTGGCCGCAGGCGGAACTCTTCTTCTTCACCTTTCCCTCCACCGCAAGGCATCCGGTCCCATCACTTCATGGCAAATAGATGGGGAAACAGTGGCTGACTATTTTTTAGGCTCCAAAATCTCTGCAGATGGTGACGGCAGCCATGAAATTAAAAGACACTTGCTCCTTGGAAGAAAAGCTGTGACCAACCTAGACAGCTTATTAAAAAGCAGAGACATTGGCAACAAAGGTCCATCTAGTCAAAGCTATGGATTTTCCAGGGGTCATGTATGGATGTGAGAGTTGGACTATAAAGAAAGCTGAGCACTAAAGAATTAATGCTTTTGAACTGTGGTGTTGGAGAAGACTCTTGAGAGTCTCTTGGACTGCAAGGAGATCCAACCAGTCCATCCTAAGGGAGATCAGTCCTGAGTATTCATTGGAAGGACTGATGCTGAAGCTGAAACTCCAATACTTTGGCCACCTGATGGGAAGAGATGACTCATTGGAAAAGATCCTGATGCTGGGGAAGATTGAGGGCAGGAGGAGAAGGGGACGACAGAGGATGAGATGGTTGGATGGCATCACCGACTCGATGGACCTGAGTTTGAGTAAACTCCGGGAGCTGGTGATGGACAGGGAGGCCTGGCGTGCTTCAGTCCATGGGGTTGCAAAGAGTAGGACATGACTGAGTGACTGAACTGAACTGACAAGGCAGTTGGGTGCCTTTCTCTGCCATGTTCCGGATTTTTGTTTTTATTCTTTCCCTGTAACACTGGAATTCTTACGAGCTAGATCCTGGGCTGTGGCTTACCCAGCCCTGCTCTCAGGACCTGGGGTGCAGTGTGTGCCCCTGGGAATGCGAGGAGGAACCAGTGAGGCCCGTGTCTTGCTTTCCTGTGTGAACAGAAAGTGCCGCAGTCCTTCCTGTCCGCCAGAGGGTGCTGAGCAAAGAATACCCTTTTGAAAACTGAAAGCCTTCCGATACTTGCAGGGCAGCATAAACTGTGAAGACTTAAAGATAAATCAGGATTAGTTACTTTCATCCTCAAAGTTAAGCTATAAGTCCAAGCCGTCGACAACTTCTGTGACCCCTGAGGACGTTGTGTAGATCTGGCAGCTTTCCTGATCTTGTTTGTAAGTGAAAATCTCAGAAGGTTTCTACACTTTGGTGGTTCTCACAGTTAGATGCAGTTCTACCTGAAATTGACTTTTTTTTTTTTAAAACAAACACATCACTTCTTTGGGCCCATATTCTGCCCATTCAATTGTGCTGAATTTGCACATAACATTTGAAATATTTTATTCTAAGTTTTCTGATAAGAATCCAGTAGACCTCAGCCAGAAAAGTACAAGCCCCAAATCCAGTAATCTAGTCAAATGTAATTTCACTCGAGGACCCTGAATATGTTGTGAAGTCATCCTTCTTTGTTCCCATTGAAACGAAAGCCTGAGGACTTTCTTTTATTCTTTTCTTTAATAGTTTTTTAAACATAGACACTCCAGTTGCTTCAGCCCACAAGAGGAGCTCGGCTTTCTAATTCTGGTGAGCTGTTGTCCTCGTGGCACGTTCGTCACGTGTCACGCGCTGCTTGGCCCCGCCGTTTAATCCAGCAGGTGACGACGTCCGGGGAAGTTAGGACCCACGCTTTAACGTGCGTGTTCCCTCCTCAGAACCTGCCGTGCGATGCTGTGTAACAGGTGCTCCGCCAGGCCACGCTGATGACTGAGCACATCTCGAGAGCTTGGTGAGGGCCCCCTGGGCCTCCTGTCGCCTCCGTCTGTCCCCTTCTCTGTCCCTGGTCCACCTGCAGCGGCTTCGAAGCCCGGCTCGCAGGGCGACGAGGCCTAGCCACTGTCCTCACTGCTTGCTCATCTCCACTGTAGTCGGTCGGGTACTGCGGCTTCACGGGTGCCCTCCTCCCACGGCTGCCCCAGGGCACCAAACTCTCCTGCTCTCTGCTTCCTTTTCTGTTGAAGCAGCTTTAAATGTTTCGTCAATGTTTGGGCCTCCCTGGTGCCTCAGACGGTAAAGAATCTGCTCGCAGTGCAGGAGACCCGGGTTCGATCCCTGGGTCGGGAAGATCCCCTGGAGGAGGGCATGGCAACCACTCCAGTGTTCTTGCCTGGAGAATCCCACGGGCAGAGGAGCCTGGTGGGCTACAGTCCGTGGGGGTCCCAAAGAGCTGGACACGACTGAGTGACTTTCACTTTCACTTTTCTATTGAGGCAGAAAGGTAAACTTTTCTGTTCAAGCAGTTTTAAATGTTTAATAAGGTATTCAGTTGTGCACAGCTTTACGTCTGATTTCTCAAGGTAAAGCAAAGCTGGTAAGATATTTTCTAGACTCCTTAGTTATCTTTTCCATTTTTTTTTTCTTCCACTTTTCTAGCAGGGTTTCTACTGACTAGATCATAAAACACCTGAGATTCTGTTGATTAGTTACTAAAAAGTGGCAAAAATTGATCTTAGTTTGAGTCAACAGTTTTGAAATACCTATTGTGTACAAAAACCATAGGTGTTACGGAAAATTCAAAGTGAACAAGGTAAAAAAGCTTGTGTTCTGGGGGATGGGAGGGAATTACAGTGTTTGTCAAATACGGTACATACATAATAATATAAGTATGGAGAGACTGCTTTATGAGAAAGATAAGAGGGAAGTAGGTTTAGAGTTCAACCATCAGGAAAGTTTTCGTGAAGGACTTGGCTCTGAAGGAGGAAGACAGAACACTGTGGTTGTAGCTTGATTCCTTTGTTTTCAAATTACTAGTAAAATTTTCTATAAAGATCTTCTTTCAGTTATAAAAAGATGTGTCAGAAGAGTGCTAGGTCATGACCACACTGTTGTTTGCTAGGTGATTGATACATACAGGTTGTTTCTTGGTTAATAATGACCCTGTCTTCTTGCATTAGTTTCTAGACATAGCCCTTTAAATCAGTATTACGTATTGTGTGGTAAATATGCTTGATAAAAATTAGATAATAATAAAGGATGGTTAGCTTCTGCAGGCTTTGTACTACTTCCAGTGCGAGTTAAGACATGCTTCGTCTTATCCATGCTTCTTAGGCGGCCTGGATTTTGAAAGCACGAGCTCTGACTGAAATGGTGTACGTGGATGAAATTGACACAGATCAGGACGGAATCGCAGAAATGATGCTGGATGAGAATGCTATTGCTCAAGTTCCCCGTAAGTATTGATTATTTTCAGTTAAGTAAATGAAATGCCATTAGGAGGCGAAATATGCTATGTACTTTTTTTCTGTAATAAAAATAAGACATTATATACATGAAAGATGTCTATGTGAAAAAATACTACGTCAAGTAAATGGCCTCTATTCTGCCTAAATAGTACAAAAACACAATTCAATTATATTATCTCAAAGTATGAGATTGATGTATAACTATTTTTCAATAGAAATTATATTACAAGTTTTAAAATGTTTCATAAAAATGCATTCAGTCTGATCTGATACAACAAAAGATTGTTTATCCAAGAGTCTGTAAACACAGGGAAGCATCCAAACAACAGAAATGTTCTAAAAGGATTTTTAAAAAACTGACCATTTGAAAGCGTCACTTCCTTGTAGTAACTGAAGATGCTTTGCTGTGATGCATGATGTGAGGTGGTGGAGTGAGTGCTTGGCCTGGCAGAGAATGCCCATCACGACTGTCGCAGTGGCCCAGTCCCAGCTTGCAGGTGTGCAGCTGTGAATGGCAGTGGATGATCACCATGACATATGGTGGTCTTGCTCGTAATTTCTTAGTTGCAACAGTGGTCAGTCATTTACATGTGTTTGGAAGGTAATAGCTGTTTTAAAGTGTCTTTTCTCTATCATTTGGTCTTTTGGAGTGAAAATATCTAAATTCCAGATATCGGGGGTAAATGATCTTTTCTTGGGAGAAGAAGTTTGTATAAAAATAAACTATGAACATGCTGCTGCTAAGTCGCTCAGTCGTGTCCAGCTCCGTGCGACCCCATGGACTGTGGCCTGCAGGCTTCTCTGTCCACGGGTTTCTCCAGGCAAGAATACTGGAGTGGGTTGCTATTTCCTTCTCCAGGGGATCTTCCCAACCCAGGGACCGAAGCTGGGTCTCTTACGTCTTACCTGCATTGGCAGGTGGGATCTTTACCATGAGCACTGCCTGGGAGTATAGAACTCTCATTTTGATGAGTCAGAGCTTTGGAGCCTGTCTTATTTTGAGTGGGAATGCTGGCAGGTTGACCTGTTTACCTAAGTCTCTAAGCCTTGGCTAAATGGGTTAGTACTACCTACCTTATAGAATTAGTGTGAAGATTAAATGTAATAACAAAAGTAGCATTGGTACTCAATAAATACTAATCAAACACATTTTACTAGGTGCAGTTCTTGTTATTAAGGTCTTTTTCATCAGGCCAGCGCCATTGTGAAAATTACGTTAGTGGACAGTTTTTACAGATTAATAAATAATATATGAATTGAACTTGTCATCTGATCTCCTAGGTCCTGGAACATCTCTGAAACTCCCTGGAACTAATCAGACAGGAGGGCCTAGCCCCACGGTCAGGTATGTTCACTACACTCCTGTTTCATCCCGCTAAATACCGACCAGACTGTATGAGAACCTTCCTTTCTCGATCTTCGTGGGACTTTAACGATTTACGATCCTCACAGGCCTATCACTCAGGCTGGAAGACCCATCACAGGTTGTTTGAGGTCCGGCACGCAGAGCGGAAGACCAGGCACTTTGGAGCAGGCCATCAGGATGCCGAGGACCGCCTACACTGCCCGCCCCATTGCCAGCTCGTCCGGGAGGTTTGTCAGGCTGGGAACGGTAAGTTCTGGTGGCTGCACCGTAGCCTTGGATGACCAAAGTAATTTATGTAACGTGACATCATTCTCCACTCTTTTTATAGTAGGGAATTATATGGAAGATTTTTGAAGGTGATTCTTTTTTACCTGTGTTGGCTTTATAATTTTATGCATTTTAAATTCAATTTTTTTTTTCAAGAGAAAGTTTCAGTTTTTCTTGTTCTGTTACTTCTCCCCACAGGCTTCCATGCTTACAAGTCCTGATGGACCTTTTATAAATTTATCTAGACTGAATTTAACAAAATATGCCCAGAAACCTAAATTGGCAAAGGTATGTTCTTAAAGTTATTTTATGTTATGAAGTGATGTTCAAAGTGAAAGTGAAAGTCGCTTCACTCAGTCGTTTTAAGCCAGACAATGGCAAGCCAACTACATTAGTAATTCTAACTATTAAATTCTTTTCTAAATTAAAGGAAAAGAGTGATAGAGAGAGAGAAGGGGGAGGGGGAGGAATAGGAAGAAGAATGTTCATGACCTTTCCAGTAGAAAAAAATTTGAAGGTGAGCGTAGAATAATTCAGAGCCAGGAGCAGTTAGCTTCCAGAAACTGGTATACGCCTAGCTCAGGTTTTTAGCTGTAATCTCTGTGAATTCTGTGCATGAGTGCTGATTTCATTCCTATTATCAGCTCTACTGGTGTTTAACATACTTACTAAATGTTAAACATTTTAGGGACTTTCCTTGTGGCTCAGCCGGTAAAGAATCCGCCTGCAAAGCAGGAGACCTGGGTTTGATCCCTGGGTTGGGAAGATCCCCTGGAGAAGGGAAAGGCAACCCACTCCAGTATTCTGGCCTAGAGAATCCCATGAACTGTATAGTCCATGGAGTCACAAACAGTTGGACACGACTGACTGACAAACATTCTAGGGAAGTCGAAAAAGAACTCTAGGCATACAGACTTGAAACTTAAGTCAGAAAAAGGAACGCTAGCTGGTAAAAAGGAAATCAGACTGTAACAATGCCAATGATATTTTTCTTCGTTCCTTATTTGATAGTGGTCTAAACAGCTTGATTTAGCAGAGTCATAAAGTTTTACTTATTTCTCTTACCTTTATGAGGAATATCTGATTGCTTATCTTTTCAGGCCATTTATTAGAGGTGACTCATTGGCTACTTGATACCATTGCTGTTTTCTAACCAGGGATTGTAGTCAGTGGAGGCATTTCCCTCAATTAAGTTAGGATGCTTCCAGGACAGACCTGGTTTATGTTATGAAATTCAAACCAAACTAGATTTTGCACTTACTTAATGTGTTGTGGAAATAACGCCAAGTTTCTCTGTCTTTGGTCTCCATCTTGCCTTGACTTAACTTATCAGGACATGAGCTGTACTCATAACTTTTTAAAAAATAACTGAACAAATGGAGAATTAGGAATAGATTTTTCAAAGAGAGCCTTATCTTGATTTATTTTTTCTTGTTTTTGGTTGCTTCCAAGTCATATCTGTTAATAACCTTGATATCTTCCAGGGGTAGAAGTGTACACTTTGCAAGTATAAAATAATGGTATTTATGGATAAGTATAGTATCACCAAGAGGTAGTCTGGTAGATGCTTATTTATCCAGATGAATTGGGGGCAATATTAGAATAATGGTTCTCAGCCTTGCTGCACATAGAGACATCTGCATATTAGGAAAAACATCTTACTTTGCAGTTAAACTCCACTTTGTTTCAGAAAGAGCTTCCAGATTTTCCCATGTCTGAGGTGTCATTATTAATATCACAATCACTGTATAATACATGCAGTTTTATGACAGTCCTAAGGTTGGTCTTTTCATTTGTCTCTTTCTGATAAAATAGAATGTGTAATATGGAAAAAACTGTTGAGCTTTCCGGTTCATATTCTTGAACTTTCCAGTTCATATTTTTAAAAACAGGCATCAGTTATAAGTAGCCTTGTTTTAAAATGAGTGATTGTAACAAATGTATGGATATACCCTTTACTTATAAATTCCAGGCACTTTAGAGGACTTTGTTATTTTGGTTCAATCCAGCTGCTGTCGAAATAGCCTTTGGGTTTTGCTATAACAATAGAGGACCTTCGTTAAAATAAAATATAATGTATTTTTTTGTATTTTTTTTTCACAGGCTCTGTTTGAGTATATCTTTCATCATGAAAATGATGTTAAGACTGTAAGTTTTAAATTTGTACTATTTTTTAAATGTAATTTTTCTAATTTGGGGGATTTAGATTTGGAAATGTCCTATTAAATTACCTTATTTTTAAAAATTTATTACCTTATAAACAGCTGGAATTATTAAAGATTGGAGAATTACTCATACTTTCAAATCCACTGTTAGTTTTAGTAGGAAAATTTGTATAACTATGGAAGTAGTATGGAGAAGGAAATGGCATCCCACTCCAGTACTCTTGCCTGGAGAATCCCATGGACAGAGGAGCCTGGTGGGCTACAGTCTGCGTGGTCGCAAAGAGTCAGACACGACTGAGTGACTAATACACGCACACACAGAAGTAGTAAGACTTGTGCCTGATCCGTAGAGTCACAGATCTCCATTAAAGGGCAAGGTATGGGTAACTGGGAATGCTGCATGATATGTTTTCATTAAACTTTATTTTTTATACTGATAGCATGGTGGATCCATTTTCTTCTTTGGTTTGTATAGTGATTATAGGTTTACTGACACCTGTATTGGACTTCCCTGGTGGTGTAGTGGTAAGGAATCTGCCCATTAATGCTGTGTTTCTGTTTTGTTTTTGTTTTTCTTTTTTTGTAATGTTCCCATCTCTCCCCTTCAACATTTTGTGATAGAAAATTTCAAACATGTGCAAGTAGACTCTGTAATGAGAGTGTAATGAACCTGCGTCAGTCATCACGCAAATTCAACAGTAATCAATAATCAAGCATCTTGGTAACCTTTTAACAGATAATTTTAAGGTTATATGCATATGACTTCTCCATTTATGGTAATTTTCACAAACAGACAAAATCTCTGCTCTTTTGGAGAGTACGTTCTGGTTGGGCAAGGAATGGAGACAGTTAGCAAATTTAAAAAAATATATAAAATGTCATGGGATAAGCAGTATAAAAATATAGCAGGGAACCAGGAAAGGGAATAGATGATGACATGGAGGATGATGCTATTTTAAATGAGGTAGAAGGCTGTTGCTTCCCTGGGGGCTCAGATGGTAAAGCATCTGCCTGCAATGCAGGAGACCCGGGTTCGATCCCTGGGTTGGGAAGATCCCCTGGAGAAGGAAATGGCAATCCTCTCCAGTATTCTTGCCTGGAGAATCCCATGGACGGAGGAACCTGGTGGGCTACAGTCCTTCGGGTCGCAAGGAGTCGGACACAACTGAGTGACTTTACTTTCACTTAGAAGACTGTTGGTAAAATTCACTCCAAAAAGACATTTAAGCAGAGGCCTGAAGGAAGGAAGAGGAACCGGATGGTTCTGTGGAGGAAGGGCATGTAAGTCAGAAAGACTGACTACAGAGGCCCTGGGTGTTAGCATTCTTGGATTGTTTGAGGAACGCTGAGGAGGCCAGTGTGGCTGGAGTGAAGTCTGAGAATGGGGAGAGCTATAGGCGATGGGCTCAGGAAGCTGATAGATCAGACGCTGACTAAGGGTCATGGTGATGATATTCTTATTAATAGCTTCATCTTGAAGATGTTCTACATCGTGGCATTCACATAATGTTAGGAATAGGAACTACATTGAAAAAATTTGTTTTATGGAAAACTATTTCTGCTTTTGGGTTCTTAATAACTCTCTCCCTTCGTGGGGCAGTGTTGGCAATATCGACAAAACTGAAGTGGCATGTGGATTTTTGATTCTGGGATCTTTATTTCCATATGCTCTTTACTTTCATAATGCTGATGTTGTCACAGCTCTCACAATAGCGAATGAAAGACTTTTCTTAAACTTTGGTACTTGGGAGCACTGTTTCCAACTATTGCTTAGGAGAGTCCCTGGGACACCTAGCTGGATGTATTCACAAGCGTTTTGTTGTCGAGATCTGTCAAGGCTCCCTGTTCCTAGGGACTTTTATAAACTTATGCCTTTTATTTATAACCTTGTAGGTCTTTATTATTAGCTAGATATTAGATTGATTAGATTATTCAAAGATCCTAAAATAGAAGTATATAGTCATTTATTTTAAAAAGCTGGCAAAGACTTTAAAGAAATATAGCTCTTCTATCACCTCCTTAAAATTAAAAAATGTTAATAGCTTTTAATTGTGCATCTTATTACTATGACAGTTTTGTTTGATTCCTAACCTATTTTCAGCATAAATCAGAAGTAAAGAATAAAATTAATGCTAATCTCAACAGCACATCACCATTCGAGAACAACAAAGATGTGTAAGAAGTGGGTGCCTGTTCTCAGGGAACAGAGGGTCCATTTGAAATCATACTGGTAGTTTTGTGTAGTGTAGCCTCAGTCATCAAATGAAGAGTGATAATTAATATGTAATTTTTACCATTTTTATTCTATATCTGTAATTCATATTAATTTCCTTGATTGGCTTAGACAAATATGTGGGCATGTGAGTCCTATATGGGAACCATATCTGAAAACAAAATCAGCAGCCTGTAGTCAGCACTAAATCTAATCTTGGAAAATTAGAATATGTAAAAAAACTCAGAATGACATATTTTTATGAAAAATAGAATGTTATATTAAATCTGAAAGTGAATCTGATCTGTTTGCTGTAACAGGTCTAAAAGATTAAGTTAAAATGAATATTATTCAGATATTTACAATGCACTCCTGAACTGAGCTGATTGAAATATGGTTTTCTGGTATTTCTAGAGATAATGATAATTGAAATAATGCCTTCCCCCCCCCTCATTTTTCACTTCCACTTTTATCTCTGGCTTCTTTTTAATTTCCATAGCTTTCAAGTAGAGATGTTGGTTTTTCAAGTCCATTAGAACCTCAGCATGTGACACCATTCCTTTATAAATAGTTTGCATATTTAGAAGTCTCCCCTGGAGTGAGAGAAGATGGGGAACACAAGGAAAGTTATTAATTTTGCAGCCAAAGCTTCAAGGAACTCTTTCGGCGTTCATTTCAGATAAGAGTTAATATGAAGAAATGAACAATAATATGGGATACATTCTGAGATTATGGGCTCCCCTCGTGGCTCAGATGGTAAAGTATCTGCCTGCAATGTAGGAAACCTGGGTTCAGTCCCTGGGTTGGGATGATCCCCTGGAGAAGGGAACAGCTACCTACTCCAGTATTCTGGCCTGGAGAATTCCATGGACAGAGGAGCCTGGCAGGCTACAGTCCATGGTGTCACACAGAGTCGGATATGACTGAGGGACTTTCATTTCACTTCTGAGATTATAGAACTGAAAATCCAAGAGTTACTTTAACTGAGCTATTGGATATTGTGATGATGTTAACACTGACTAAAGAATAAAAGGTTTTCAACCTTAATAGAAAGGATAGTAAGTATTATATAAAAAATCAGAATTCTTTTTAAACTAATAACCAAATCTTTACATGAGCTTCAGATTCCTGTGAACTTTACAGGAATATAAAGATTGATTTGCTTCCTCTTTGTCCAAATGGTTTCTGCTTTTTGGGTATAGAATCCTAATTCTTAATTAGGTATTTTTGTCTGATCTTGAATAATCACGAGAAGGAACAAACTAGAAGACATTAGAGAGAAAGGCATAAGTACACATAAAATGCGAAAGCAGTTAGCTCTTTTTCAGTCCATCGCAAGCAAAATCTGACCTTCAGGATTACTCGACATCTGTCTTTAAAGTGGGTCCTGCCCTTGGGCCTACCTTACACAGTAAAGGCTTGACTGCCACTAAGTTTGGAAGTGTTTTGGTGGGGATAAAAACGTACAGATTTTTTAATACCAGTTTTGTACCTTGTATGTTAAAGCTGTATTCAGATAGACTGTACATCTGCTTCCCTTTGATCAGTGTTTCCTTCTCATCTGCTGTCAGCCCTCTGGTCTGGAACTGATTATTTAGGGAAAATTGGTGGGGCCATCTGGAGACATGAGCAACTCGAGTTTCTGTCTGATTTCTAATGCATGTTTTGATTGATGCTAATTATATGGTTTATTTCATTATTTATTGTTTCTGCTTATTGTCAGAAGAGAAAATCCTAATTGAAAATGAATTGTTTTTCAAAGGCTTTGGATTTGGCTGCCCTTTCCACGGAGCATTCTCAGTACAAGGACTGGTGGTGGAAAGTGCAGCTTGGAAAATGTTACTACAGGTAAAGTTCAGATTTCTTTGTAAAAGGCTGAAGCAGCAACATATTTTGGAGTCTCAAACCCAGTAACCTTTTCTGGGGGATGGATTTCCTCATGAAGAAGTGAGCAAGGTGTCTCTGGCTTCCTTGAGAAAGCATTTGCTTAGCAATCACGTGATGGCTTCCAGCGAGTGGTAAAGAATCCACCTGCCAGTACAGGAGACTCAAGAGACACGTGTTTGATCCCTGGGTTGGGAAGATGCCCTGGAGTAGGAAATGGCAACTCATTCCAGTATTCTTGCCTGGAAAATTCCACAGACAGGGGAGGCTTGTGTGCTGCAGTCCATGGGGCCACAGAGAGTTGGGCATGGCTGAGTGACTGACCACGCACATACGTGATGGCACTAAGAACTGACAGGCTTAGAAGAGTGACATTTTAGACATGGGAAGGGGGCGCTGTGAGACCCTCACGCCCTTTTCAGATGAAGAAGCTGAGGCCAGGGAAACGGATTTGTATCAGGAACCAGTGAGTAACAGACCTGGGATTAGAATCGAGTCTTGGTTCTCTACTCCTCTGGACTCTCACATTTTTATTTCTTCTTCCACCTCACGTCTGTAAAGCGCTTTACAGTTGAGAGAGGACTGGTCCACACATCACCTTGTCTCACTCACATCTTACGGCATTTTGGAGGTAGTTGCTGTTAGTAGCCCTTTGTCCAGATGAGAAGACGTGAGCCTCAGAAGGATAAAGTGACTTTCCCAGCTTCACGCAGCCTGTCAGCAGCAGAACTAGAATTTGAGCTCAGCTTTCTGATGCCAGTTCTTTTACTGTTTGCACAGTCTCATGGTGTTTCTCTAGGATCTGAACATTCTCACACTAGTTCACTTAACCTTTAAACACATTTAAGCCAATTGAGAAATCAAAAGTTATAAAGAATATTATGAATATTATACAGCAACTGGTAAATAGGATCTGAAATCATTGCTTAATACCAAANGTTATAAAGAATATTATGAATATTATACAGCAACTGGTAAATAGGATCTGAAATCATTGCTTAATACCAAAATACACTTGGAGCATTTGAAAAATCAAATGAATAGTTATATTTTACAAAGATAAATATATTATTCAAAAACAAGGTAGACTAGTCACTGTGAGCATCATTCTATAGTTACTAACTTTAGTTATTAAACACTGAGAAAAAGGAAATATATAAATAGAATAAAAAGGATGCTTATTTTTCTAATTGAAATTAAGACTGTTTTCCATTTAGATATTTCACATAGAACTCTAAAGTATTTTTTCCTACTGTTAGATTGAGGAAGCATTTTCTGCTAAAAGGTAATTTTGGATCATTATAACATTAAGCTTTTATGAATATAATTTCTGAAGACAAGCTTGAAATCTTGAGCTTCTAAGGAAAATTCTCAGAAATCTATAATAATGAAAGAAAAGCATAACTTGATTCCTTCTTTCCTCCATGTAAGACGGTATTTAAATGAGTGTACTTTGTCATATTAATTATTATTCTCTGTTCCCTTGAACACTTCTCATCTTTCTGTATTGAGTACTCATTCATTTGTTCATTCACTCACAGTAAAATGTTTAATGAGAAGCTCCTTTAAACGGTTTACCACTGGATGGAGGAGAGAGAACAGGAATCAGTTGCAGACGTGGTTCGCGTTCTGATAGGAGCAAGGGCAGGGCGCAGGGGGAGCCCAGAAGGCCCCTGCTCACAGTGACGAGGTCAGGGGCGGGTACCAGAGGGCGCACCTGGGCGACTTCCCTCTCTGCCCTGACCCGTAGTCCTCCTGGTTCTTCCTGGGCCGTGGCTTTTACAGTTGCTCCCTTACTAGCCAGTCCCACTGCAGTGCCCTGATCCTGGCTTTTAGTGTCATTTGTTTGAATTGCTACATTAGTTTCTTATCTAGGTTTTCTTCCTCCATTTTCTTGTCCACTCAAGGCTTCCTAGGTACTGTCAGTGACTGTTGCAAATATTCTTTGATTGATCTCCATTACCTCTGAAATGAAATCTGTATTTTACGTGTGGCATCCCTGAGTTTGTCCAAGTCTATAACTTTGCCCATGTTTCTCACTTCTCCCCTTCTGTCTTGTGTCTTCCTTTTTGGTTAAACCTAACAACTCAGCATGTTGTTGGGGTAACATGCTATGGACGTTCCTTCCTGTGGGCTTGTGCCGAGAGTTTGCGTCCATCAGAGATGTCCCCTCACCCCCACCCCGCCCCACCCTGCCTCGCTGTCGAAGTCTTGCCCATTCCTTCCTCGCTGAAACTTACTTTGTTCCTCCTTTGTGCTCTCAAAGTACTTTTATTTTCTCATTGGCCATAATACAATTAGATTTATTTTAAAATATGTTTTGTTTCAATCTTAATTGGTGCCTCCAGTACAAGGTTGTTATCTTCATTTTTGCAACTCCTTAACATCATTAAATGTGCATGCAGTTGGTCCTTGACAATGTTTATTGAATTAAATTGGAGAGAAAAACTTGGCAGTTGGTGGAGATTAGCTCTGGACTCTGACTGTTTGATATTTTCCATTGTTTATGAACTTGACTGATGTTTTCATTATTCCTAGACGTTCTCTATACATGGCGTCCACTCCATTTCCTTTGTACAAGAACCAATGTGGTGAATTCCTTTTTGATAGAATTAGAGGAAATGATCTCGTAAGGGTATAGTAGTAAAACACTGTGATTCATCCTTCTTTCTTTTCTTTGGTTTCCAGGTACTTCAGTAGCTCTGGTTGCTTGTTTGTTTTCTGATTTCTTTATTCTTCATTGTTTTTTCTAAAATCTAGTTCTGTTTTCATATTCTTTTTTTATATGTATCTTTTTATTGTAATCCCTGTAAAATTAATTTTTGCAAGAGACAACTTATTAGTTAAAAATATGCAAACTAAGTAGGTGTTCATGGAATTCAGTGATTCAGCTTCAGCCATGTGTTTAAGACTTAAATGTTCAGTTGAAACTCTGTGTATAAATATGCTGTTCTTCAGAACTTCAGAGTTCTCTGATAACGTTTTATGAACACTCCTTGTGAAAGTTGCAGAGCTTTTGAAGCAGTAGGGGCTTCCACCACATCATACATCTGCTAACTTTAGGCCAGATTTTTGGATCACTTTAACCTCTTTGTCCCACACTGTCCAACATCTCTTGGGGTATAGTTATATCAGTGCTTGAGGTTTAGATTAGGAAAAAAGAACACAGCTATTCTTTCAAGCCTTTAAATGAAAGTAACATAATGGACCATATTGTATACTGTTTTGTCTTTATTTCATAAATAAAAGCATTATCATAAAGTGCCTAAGTAGCTCTCAGATGCCTGGGATGAGTAGTTATGAGAAAGCCCAACAGATCTATTAATGACAGGCTGAAGTGTGCTTTAGTGATTGATTTCACGGTAATATAATGTTCCCTGGGCAGAAGTGGGTGTTGACATCAGGACAGTTGTATTTAAGCAAGGAACAAAGCTCAGATTCATAGACTAGGACGATCAGTATCAGATACAAGAAAAGGGGAAAGAAAATGTTGTGGAATAATAAAATGGTATAGCTATATTACTCAAGTAGCAGTTAACTATTTACCTCAAAATTGTTTAGAGTTTAAAAATGGGCTTATGCAGAGTCAAAAAAGTAACTTGAGACAGGTGAAAATTGGAATTATAACACATCAAAACTTGAGGAATGCATCAAAAACTGCACCTTAAGAGAGAAGTTCTGAGCAATAAATGCCTACTCAAGAAAATTCTCAAATAAACAACCTAACTTTACACCTCAAGTAACTAGAAAAAGAAGAACAAATGAAGCTCAAAGTTAGTAGAAGGAAGGAAATAACAAAGATCAGGATAGAAATAAATGAAATAGGAGCATGAAAAGGATCATAACTATGAGTAAGTGGGATTTATTCCAGGTATGTAAGGATGNAACCAGCTCATTTGAAAAGACCCTGATGCTAGGAAAGCTTGAAGGCAGGAGGAGAAGGGGACGACAGAGGATGAGATGGCTGGATGGCATCACCTACTCGATGGACATGAGTTTGGGTAAACTCCGGGAGTTGGTGATGGACAGGGTGGCCTGGCGTGCTGTGGTCCTTGGGGTCACAAAGAGTCGGACACAACTGAGTGACTGAACTGAACTGAAAAGTTATATGAGGAATCTAAAAAAAAAAAAAATTAGCAAGTTCATAGATAGAACAGATTGCTAGTTGCCTGAGGCTGAGAGTAGAGGAGGGCAGATTGTTATAGGGAGTCACAAGGCACAAATATCAGTTATAAAGTAAGTTGTGAGTATGTCACATACATCATGGCAGCTATAGTTAATAATGCTGTATTGCGTGTTTGAAATTTTCTAGCAAAGTGAAACTTATAAGTTCTTATCACGAAAAAAATTCTGTAACTGTGTATGGTGATGGATGTTAATTAGACTTATTGTGGTGAACATCTTGCAAGGTATACAAATATCAGATTACATTGTTATATGCCTGAAATTAAATACTGTTGTATGGCAATTATATTGAGTTGGCCAAAAAGTTCCTTCTGTTTTTTAAATTAAAAATAAAAGACACATTTTTCATTTTCACCAAGAACTTTATTGAACAGTGTATTCACCATTCTGTTCCACTACCTTCTGCCAGTTTTTAGGCAACTTCATAATTCCATCTTCCTAAAACTTTATTTTTTTTTTGAGCAAAGAACTGTTTCAGGTGTCTTTGACATTCTCCCAGGGAATTGAAATTTTTTTCAATTTTTTGTAAAACCTGAAATAAATGAAAATCCAAAGGTGGAATGTCTGGTGAATATGGTGAAGGAATCAGAACTACTCAGCCACGCTGTAACAATTTTTGCCTGGTCATCAAACAAAGAAGTGCATCAGAAGTCCAGTCAAGAAGATTTCTTTCTGCTCAACTTATGTGAACCCAAACATCAAAATGATTAACATACCACACTGATATAACTGATTTTCAGCACTTGGTTTAGATAGTTTGAGCATGTCAGCTATCTCCTGCATGGTATAACATAGACTGTTCTCAATGGATGTGTCAATTTGATCGCTGTCAACTTCAACAGGTCTACGTGACCAGGGAGCACCGTCCAGTGAGAAATCTCCAGGATGAAACTTAACAAACCAGCTTTGACTCATTTGATCAGTCACAGCACCTTCTCCATACGCTGCTGTTTTTTTTTTTTTTTTGCATTTCAGTTGCATTTTTTAATCTTTCTTGAAATAATAAAGCATAATATTCTGAAAATGTTGGTTTTTTCTTCTATTTTCAGTATTAAAATGACTACACAAAAATTCACCAGTTTTGATTTTTTTTTTTTAAACTCACACTGACATGATGGCTGCCAACAATACAACCTAACACAATTGTTTTGAATGAAGTTAAAGACAATTAAGCACTACTAGAGCCATCTTACGAAAAAGACTGAATGAACCTTTTGGCCAACCCAGTACCTCAGTTTTTAAAAATGGGCTTTTATCTCAAAGTAGAAGATGTTTTCAGAGAAATGTCATCTTCAGTTCTTCCAATAAAATGGAGGCTCTGAGCATTTCTTGAGGTCACATGATGTGTCAGCTGACACAAGCAATTTGGGTGGTGACTCACTGGCATCCTGCTGTGATTAGGCTTCAGATAGACTCTCCAGCCCATTTAAGCATTCAGACAGTGAATATGGGAATGCGGGCATCTCTTTTTCTAACCTGTATAAACATGCGTGTGTGCATGTAACACTGCCTTCTTGGTACATGCTTACTCTTAACAGATGTAATTTGTCTCTAATTCATATCCTCAGGGTATGAATGGATGCTGGTCATATTTGTTTTAAATGGAATGTCTAATTTTTTAAAATGGTTCTTCTTAGGTTAAGATTGTATCGTGAAGCAGAGAAACAGTTTAAATCAGCCCTGAAGCAGCAGGAAATGGTAGATACATTTCTCTACTTGGCAAAAGTAAGTACTCTGAAATTGAGTGGAATTTGTCTTCTCTGGATAAATGTTTAACTTCTGACTAGCGCATGGGGAGAGTTGCCAGTTTCTTTAAGAACAGTTGACAAGTTAATGTGTTCAGACTTAACTTTTTTTTTTAATGGTAAGGGGAAAGGTGAGCGCATACGGAGGATAACCATCTCAGGAAAAATCAGTTGGCCATGAAAAGTAAGACAGCCCCTTTGAAGTATTGCCCCTTAGATCAGAAGAACATGCTACAGGCTTATTATCCCCAGGGCTCACAAGCCCCAGAGAGGTGTTTTTCTACAACATTTTTTCTACAACATTTATTTCCCGTGTCAGCAGACTATAGAGAACAGGATTGTTTTTATGTAGGTTTTTATGTTTTCACTTTTTGTCTCTGCCATTATAACAAAAACAGTATTTCCCCTTTATTGAGCACCTACTCGGTGTAAGGTATTTTATCAAGTCTGTTTCATATGTAATTTAATTAAACTTTCTTAGCGACACCGCAGAGTGGATTTCCTTTGTACTGCTAAGGAAGAGGATACTTAGGAGGATACGTGAAGACTTGCAGTCTCTCTTGCCTTTTGAGAGCCAGCGTTCAAACCCAGGGGGCTTCACAGCAAGGAGTCTGCCTGTCACTGCCGGAGACTCAGGAGACGGGGGTTCAGTCCCTGAGTCGGGAAGGTCCCCTCCAGGTGGAAATGGCAACCCACTCCAGCATTCTTGCAGCAAAGTCCCATGGACAGAGGAGCCCGGCGGGCTACAGTCCCTGGAGTCAGAGAAGAGTCCGCCACAACTGAGCGACTGAACCCCAGCAGTTCACACCCGGGACTTTCTGACTCCAGAGCGCCTGAGCGCCCCCACCGCCACAGCGGAGGTGGGGGGCCATGGGCAATTCCCACTGCTGGAATCGGTGACTTCCGTACCCTCACCAAGGCTACTCTCAAAGAAGCGTTGGATGAGGTGGTGCTTAGGACGTCACCTTGTACTAATGTATCTTTAAGAATTTCTTAAATTTAAAAAGGGTTGTCAAGATGGTTAAAGAGAAGATGAGACAGAGAAGGAAATGCGTCTGCCGCTGCTGCTGCTAAGTCGCTTCAGTCGTGTCCGACTCTGTGCGACCCCATAGACGGCAGCCCACCAGGCTCCCCCGTCCCTGGGAGTCTCCAGGCAAGAACACTGGAGTGGGTTGCCATTGCCTTCTCCAAAAGGAAGTGCTACTACTTTCTAAATAGGTATTAATGTTAGCATACTAACAATCAAATGAAAGTTCTGCCATATACACTTACTGTGCTGACTTAGTATGTTTATAGTGGTTTTTTAAAAAATGTCTGAAACTCTAAGTGTCTTTATACGTTATATGTTAAATTCTAAAAAGGTTTCTAAACATCACAGTAAAGTTTTCTGACAGCTTGAAATTATAATTCAGGTTACAGTATATGACTATTATCTTCTTAATTGATAATCACTTGCCATGTGGTTAAAAATGTACTTTTTAACTATTGTTAAATACATTGTTTGATTATTTTTTCATCAGTTGATTTGCTTAACTCTTTTGTTGCCTATGTGACTATATAGGGTTACAATTTACTTGTTTTTTTAATATGTGAAGGAATTATTGCTAAGTAATAGAGACCAAGCAGATTTTAGGAACAACGTTATTTCTTATGATTTAAGCTTGTTAATTTAAGAATTATTAAATATTTTATATTCATATATGGAATTATATTATTTATTATATTTGAAAAAGCAATTCAGAAGCATGTAAGGTAAAAATTGAAAAGTTTTTATCCACACCCTTTCCTCTAGTCTCATTCTTTATCAATAAACTCTCTAGGCAGTTTTGTGTGTCTCCATTTGGGCTTCTTCAAAGCACAGTCTAAACGTTTAGGAGGAAACAGAGGATCCAAGATCATGAAGAAAAAAAAAAGTCATAATCTTATGTTTCTATACATAAAGCTATAATTCTCATTTTAGAAACTCCTAGTAAGTTATGGTTTATCTACGCTGAATTTTCTAATTTCTAATTCAGTGGTGGGAACTGTTAAATGGGAGTATCGAGTGCTAACCCTCCCAGCTCCCTGACCCTCTGCCCTACACATGTGTTTCCCGTCTACTTCTCAGGGTTCTTCTCCCAAACCACCCTCTGCAGAGCCTTCCCCGGCTGCTCCTTCTCAGACTTTCCCACGGGGCATGCCCTCTTTCTCCAGCATCTTCACAGTCAGCCTCACAATTAGTCCTTCATGCCCGCCTATAGACACACTTAGGTCTGTTCCATCCTCAAAAAGATTAATTTAAAAATTAATTTATCTTAATTGGAGGATAATTGCTTTACAGCATGTGATAGTTTTTGCCATACATCAGCATCCTTTTCTAGTTACTGTCTAGTCTGTGTGATGTAGTAAGCCCACAATAAGTGTTTGCTGAAGGAATAAATGAGTGAATGTGTCACACACAGCATGAGGAGATAAAACTATAACATCATTATTGGAAATTGATCCTACACATTTCTGAAAAATGTTTACTATAGTATCTAGGAGATAATTTGTTACTAATCTATAATTTTAAATTTGTCATAATGAATATTGTTATTTTAAGAAGCAGTACTTCTGTTGAAGTGTATCTTGGTTTTAGGTTTACATCTCATTGGATCAACCCGTGACTGCTATAAATCTTTTCAAACAAGGCTTAAACAAGTTTCCAGGAGAGGTAACCTTACTTTATGGAATTGCCAGGATCTATGAGGTAAGGTTCCTATCTTTCAAAAAGTTGATACAAAATTGAGGTTATGTGCTACTTAAGTAAGTTCGTAGTCCCTTGGGGTCTTATAAAGTGTAACAGGTTGTATAATTATGATTGTTGGCCAGTGATTTACCAACAGAGTAAGAGATTTTAGTATATGCATTAAACAAACCTAAGTTTTTAAGATGAAGTATTTCAGACATACAGAAGGGTGTAGAGTGTGGCGTGAGAGAGGAGTTTAAATTAGTTCTTCCCTATGTATAGTTGGTTGTCCCAGCACTAACTGAACCCTCTCTCTGGTCTGTAATGTCAAGCATCAGGTTTTTTTATATGTATATGGTAGATACATTCTGGGGTTTTCTCTTCTGTTCTATTGGTCTGCTTGTCTATCCTTGTACCAATATTATATCATGTTATAACTCCTGTAGCTTTATTATATGTACTCTTTGGTAGGGCGCTTTGTTCCTCTTCATTAGGAATGTCTTGGCTATTTTGGGCTTTTGCTTATTCTAATAAATTTTAGAGCCATTTTTGTCAAATTTCATGAAAAACCCCCTTGAGTTGTTCTCCCTGCTGCCTAATTAAGATAGCTTCATAATAATTCTTGATATCAGGTTGGGAAAATTCTACCACATGTTCTTCACAATTGTTTATTCTTGGCCCTTTGCTCTTCCATAGTAAAAACCCCTGTCGGCATGTGGATTGGAATTGCATTGAATATAAGAATGAGGGGGGTGCCTTTCTTCCCACTGGGGTTCATGATATAACTGTCCGTTTACTTAGGTCTTTTTCTTTTTTGTCCTTAATGAATATTTTGTAGCTATCTTCATAAATGTTTTGTTGAGAGTCCCCAAAACCACTGTGAGGTTCAGTGATTTATTAGGTCTCAGGACTCGGCACACAGTTGTGCTCATAGCCACTATTTTTTGTATCAAAAGGGTACAAGGCAAAATCAGTAAAGGGAAAAGGCATGTGGGGCAAAGTTCAGAGGAAACCAGACACTGGCTTTCAAGAGTTCCCCTCCGCCGACTCCCGACTGGTGGAGTCATAGAGGACACATTTGATTCTTCCTGCAAGTTGTGGCAACATGTATGAAGCACTGTCTGCCAGGGAAGTTCATTAGAGACCTGGTGTCCATCACATAAAGAAGGCTGAGCCCTGAAGAACTGATGCTTTCAAGCTGTGGTGCTGGAGAAGACTTGAGAGTCCCTTGGACAGCAAGGAGATCAAACCAGTCAATCTTAAAGGAGATCAGCCCTGAATACTCACTGGAAGGGCTGATGCTGAAGCTCCGCCTGATGCGAAGACCCGACTCATTGGAAAAGACCCTAATGCTGGGAAAGATTGAAGGCAGGAGGAGAAGGGGATGACAGAGGATGATATGGTTGGATGGCATCACAGCCTCAATGGACATGAGTTTGAGCAAACTCCGGGAGACAGTGAAGAACAGGGAAGCCTAGAGTGCTGCAGTTCTTGGGGTTTCAAAGAGTTGGACATGACTTAGCGATAGAACAACAACAATCTGTTACAGAACAACAACAATCTGTTACCGGGGCTGTCCATAGAGGCACCATCTGCCTGTCAGGTACCAGGACCCCAGACTCCCAGAAGGAAGCAGGCATTCATACACCACATGCCCTGCACTTTGCACAGTTCCGGTGTAGTGAGCCACGCTCTCATTTGGGGAAAGTTTTATATCAGTATAGGACACTAGCTGGGCTTCCCAGAGGCTCCAGCGGTAAAGAATCCGTGTGCCAATGCCGGAGATGTAAGAGACGTGGGTTCGATCCCTGGGTCGGGAAGATCCCGCGGAGGAGGGCATGACGACCCAGTCCAGCGTTCTTGCCTGGAGGACCCCGTGGACTGAGGAGCCTGGTGGGCTGTAGTCCGTAGGGTCACAAAGAGTCAGACACGATTGAAGCGACTTAGCACACACGCACGCACACACACGGGGCCCTAGCCAAGTTCTAAGTTACTCACCAAGGGCCAGCTCTCAAGCAGGCCTTTCTAAGAGTAGCGGTCCCAGGCCTACTGTGTTAACTCTTTTCTGCACAGATGTGTTTGTAATAAAATTGTGAATGAACTGCTTTTTTTTCTCTTGTGTTTTCTATGGTCATTTCTGGTGAATGGAAATGTATTAATTTAAGTTGATTTGATACTAAAACTTGGCTAAATAGTCTTTTTAATAACTTATTATAGATTGTCTTAGATTTTCTAAGTAAAACAATCATCTGTGAATGTGGACAGTTTTATCTCTTAATTTCAATTATTTTACTTAAAAAACCCTTACTGTTTAGGACCTTCCACTACAGTATTGAACAGAAGCATCTTTGTTCTCTTTTAAATTCCTTGAAATGCTGGGTATGATCTTTTAAAATTATTTTGTTAGAAAAAAGAATGGAAAGTATTAGTAGTTGCCATACCTGGGTAGTAGTGTGTGAATGGTTTGTATTTTATTTTCCAGATTTTCTGTAATCAACATGTATTACTTGTAACATGAAAACAACAAATATTATCCTTAAATTGTTTAGAAATAGCTTCTCCTTGTGAAATGTAATTTTGATAAGCACATAAATAGAAACCTTTGACCGTTCTGTAAAAAAGCATTATCAGTATCTCTGTATCTTTAGTTGTGTGACCTTAAATTGAACATGAATGAAATTTTGACCAAGAAGCTTAGAAAGGAAATAAAATAGAATCAGTTTGAAAGCTGTGAAGTTCATAGTGGCGACTGTCTCGATGTGGTTGGAATTGTTTGTGCCTCTGGTTCCTTCTGCCCTTCTTAGGTGGGAGCTGCTGTTAGAAGGACCTGGCGGGAAGTATTCTTTCTAGGCTCCCATCGCAGGGGTCGTTGCTATGGCTGGGACAGGGAGCGGGTCTGGAGTGGATTCTTTCATCAGCCTCCTCCTTCCTTCCCCTGCTCTGGGTCTGGCCAGGACTTGGAGGAGCACATTCTTTTGTAAGGGTGACAGGGGAAGGCTTTGTGAGAAAAGGTAGAATCTGAATTTTTACTCAAAGAGAGAAGTGAAGAGAGAGCATCCTAGTTTTGAGGACGACATCATGTACAAATAGGGTGTCCGCGGGCTGAGCACAGACTTGGAACAGCGGGATGCAGCACTTCCCCTTGAATTTACATGGTTAATTTCACTTATGGCAAAGTTTACCTTACAAAGATTTCCACTGTGTTCCTTTTCTCTTTATGTGACAGTGGATTGAGGGTTAATTAGTAGAGTTTGGTTCTTGGAGCTTACACAGCATATGCCTTTAGGGATTTTTGTATGTATATCATACTTTTCTCTGGAGGGATTCTTTTCCTTTATGTTCTTTTTTTTTTTTTATCACTTTCATTTTGATCTTGTTTCTTTTAAATGAACATGTTGTGCTGCGTATTATTTGTTGCTTGTTCTCTACAGAAGGTTGTTTAAATTAATGATTTATCCTTGCTAAATTTATTTGGTTGTGGTTTTACTTTTTCTTGGAGCCTTTTGCTTATTCATTTGAAAGGCAGGCCTCTATTTGAACTATTCTGTGGTGAAAGGTTCAAATAAAGGCCTTCCTTGCTTCCTGTGTGGCTCAGTGGGTGAAGAATCCGCCTGCCATGCGGGAGACCTGGGTTCGATCCTGGGTGGGGAAGATCCCCTGGAGAAGGGAAAGCTACCCACTCCAGTCTTCTGGCCTGGAGGATCCCATGAACAGAGGAGCCTGGCGGGTCACAGTTCAAGGAGCTGCAAAGAGTCGGACACGACTGAGTGGCTAACCACAGCACGCTGCAAATGTTAAAAGGTGTTTGAATAATTACCCTAGGAAACATTGCTCTCATGGACAATATTGTGTTCAGTATGGAACTTTACTGTGTATAGAAATGCCTTGGGGAATGTTTGAGAGTGAGGCCCGTCTTCCTCCTCCTGACTCACATGTCCTGGAAAGCGGGATACAGGCTTTTGTCTGCTGAGCAAGCTCACTCGGTGATTCTGATGTATAACAGAGTTTGAGAATCATAGCAAAATTCACTTCCCTAAGTTATTTACAGTTTTGTTTTAAATAACTAAAACTCTAATCAATGTTAAATTAATTATGTGGATTAGTTAAAAAAATAACCATTAATAACTACTATAAAAATCATTTAAATGATACTGGGGTTGTTTATATACTTGAAGTGACATTTGTATGTTTGAAGATATTATTTTAAATCTACATTAATAAAATTTATTCTTGAGCTACTATAAACAATTCTGATGCTGGACTAGATCGAAGAAAGGACAGAATTAGAATCTGTGTGTATTCATACATATGAAAATTTATGTGATAAAGACTGTCTATTAAACCAGCTAGTTTACTGGATTGTTTAATAGCTTTAAAATAGAGCTGGCTGAGTAATGATTCCTTATACTGAAAAAACACATTGCTGGGACTTGCCTGGTGGTCCAGTGGCTAAGACTCCACGCTCCCAATGCAAGGGGCCTGTGTTTGATCCCTGGTCAGGGAAGTAGATCCCACATGCCTCAAGTAAAGAGTTCAGATGCTGCAACTAAAGGTTCTGCATGCTACAATGGAGATCTTTGGCAGCCTAATAAATAAACACTAAAGAAATAGAAAAGGAACGCATTGCTACCAGGTGACTCGAAGATTTAAAACCGTGAATATTCCAGAAGAAAATACAGATGAATTATTTATATAAACCCATTGCTACCAGGTGACTTGAAGATTTAAAACCATGAATGTCCCAGAAGAAAATACAGATGAATTATTTATATAAACTTGGTCTGGGGAAGACCTTTCTAAACATGATACTAATTCAGAAAGTCATAATAGAAAAAATTGATCAGTATGAGAACATAAAGGTTAAATTTTCTATGCTGAAAAACGAAAATACAAATAAAAGCAAACCCTAACAAAACAGGTAAAAATATCAAACAGGGAACATATTTGCCATACCTGGGACAGGGGAAAAAGGCTGCTTTTACTGTCTTCACTTTATGATGGGAGAATTACATACTGCACATAAGTGTGCACATCCACGCTTATAACTCCTCATTTTGGTCAAGAACATAAACATGGAAACTGCGACAGGTATTTCCTCAGAGCACTGGTGGGGGTAAAATCATGGAATGGCCCTTGTCCTTGCAGCCTACACGGTGACTTGTGGCTGCTCTCCACGAAGTCGCCAGAGCAGAGCTGAGACAGCAGCCAGACTCCAGCTGCAGTCCGGCGGCACTCCGCCCTTGCGTCCTGGTGCTGCTTAACACACATCTGGAAGGACTCAAGCAAACCACCTGTGCTTTCCCTCCGAAGGGAATGTTCACAAACACGTGGCCCTCCTGGGTTGTGAGCGGAAGTCCGCGTCAGCGCGCATTCTTTGTGGAGAGAGCAGGCAGCGCCCAGCGACCCTGCAGCCACAGCTGTGTCTCCAGCTCTCCTGAGCCCAGAGGGCGGGTTCCACACGCACAAACCAAGGATAAGAGGGCAAGAGATGGGATAGCAACACTGACAAAAGGCACGGATCTGCAGTTCACGGGGAAAGAACTGTGTAGTGTGTTGAGTGTCTAACCTCAGTGATAATTAAGGAAATGAAAATTAATACAACAGTGTCACTTTTTACTTAATCAGGTTAACAAAAATGAGTAAGTTTCCTGGCATTTAAGATTGTCAAGGGTGTAGAGGAACAGTCGTCACATGTGAACATTATTGCTGGGAGCGTACACTGGTACAACCCATTTGGAGGCTGTTTATAGCTACTTATGAGATTTCTAAATGTACATTGAAGTTTATTTAATATCAGCACCTATTTTATAATAACAACTTCGAAATACTTCACATAAGGTTGTCAAAGACACATTGTGTGTGTATTCCATTGCTAAGTCATGTCTAGCACTTTTGCGACCCCATCTAATGTAGCCCACCAGGCTCCTCTGTCCGTGGGATTCTCCAGGCAAGAGTACTGGAGTGGGTGGCCATGTCCTTCTCTAGGAGATCTTCCCGACCTAGGGATCAAACCCTCATCCCCTGCATTGGCAGGCAGATATTCTTCACCACTGAACCGGTGGGGAAGCCCCCCAAAACATGTTAGTTTCAGCCTAAAATTCCTAGAGATTACATAAGTTTAGTCCATGGCCATCAATCAAGTATGCAAACATTCTAAGGCATGTTGAAAAATTGAAGCATAATTGTTTACAATACTGTCTTAATTTCAGGTATGCAAAGTGGAAACAGACTCACAGACACAGACAAGCTTAGTGGTTACCAAAGGGAAGGGGGAGTGTCGTGGGGGACAAGCTCGGAGCATGAGGTTAACAGATGCAAACTTCTAAGGCAGTTTTATAGAGCCAAAAGCCTTGAAATGACTGACCGCTCGGGCTGCAGTCTTTGAATTGGGTATTACCACCTGTGGCAGACTGAATTTTCTGCCTCCCCACCCCAGCCCGTTCTTACCTTGAAGCCCCAACCCCCTGTGTGAGGGTGTCTAGAAACGGCCTTGGGGAGATAGAGTTAGATGAGCTCATGCGGGCGGGCCCACCCTCGTGATGGGATTGAAAGTAAAAGTGAAGTCGCTCAGTCCTGTCCAACCCCACAGACTGTAGCCCACCAGGCTCCTCTGTCCATGGGATTCTCCAGGCAAGAATACCGGAGTGGGTTGCCATTTCCTTCTCCAGGGGAATCTTCCCAACCCAGGGATTGAACCCAGGTCTCACGTGCTGGGGGCAGACGCTTTAACTTCTGAGCCACCAGGGAAGACAGGTGCCTCTATAAGGCAAGACACCATTCCTTCCCTGCAAGCAGGATCGTGAGTACCATTTTTCTGGATTCCATATGTATGCATTAATATATGAGATTTGTTTTTCTCTTTCTGACTTACTTTACTCTGTATAACAGGCTCTAGGTTTATCCGCCTCACTAGAAGTGACTCAAACTTGTTCTTTGTTATGCTGAGTAATACTCCATTGTGCATATATATACACACACATACCACAGATGTAGGGAATGGACTTGTGGGCACAGTGGGGAGGGAGAGAGTGGGGTTTACACACTGCCGAGTGTGAAATGGGTAGCTGGTGCGGGCTTGTGTATGACTCGGGAAGCCCAGCCTGAGGCTCCGTGCCGACCCAGAGGGCTGGAGTGCGGGGAGCGGCGGAAGCTTCGGGAGGAAGGGATAGATTTTTTATAATTACGGCTGATTCGTGTGGTTGTGTGGCAGAAACCAACATAACACTGTAAAAATACTTTTATTTTATTTTATTTTAAATACTTTTAAAAAGACTCCGGAAAGCACTGGAGCGCTTTGACGCCGGCTGCCCTCTCTCTCTGTCTCATGCAAGGACGCAGTGAGAAGGTGACCCTCTCTAGCCAGGAGGGAGGTCCTCACTGAAACTGTGTGATGTCAGCTCTGTGACTTTGAACACCCGGCCTCTGGAACTGTGAGGACATGTTTCTGTTGGTCAGGCCACTCAGTCTCTGTCGTGGCAGCCCGAGTAGATGAATACGCCACGCTGGGCACCCGTAGCGCTGAATGAAGCCCCGCACTCTGGGGTGCTGCTGCTGTCTGAATGTCCTCTTTGGAAAGACACCTATTCGGGCCTTCTCTCCATTTTTCAATTGGGCTACTTAGTTTTTGATATTGCATTGGATGAACTGTTTATATATTTTGGATATGAGCCACTTATCAGTCATAATTTGCATATATTTTCACCCATTCATTAAGTGGTTTTCATTCTGTCAGTGGTTTTCTTTGCTGGGCAAAAGTTTTTAAGGCTATTTAGGTCCCATTTGGTTATTTTTGTTTTTTTTTCCTTTGCTCTAAGAGACAGATCCAGAAAAAAGTAGCGCTGTGCTGTGTGTCAGAGTGTCCTGCCTGCGCTTTCTTGTAGGAGTTTTATGGTTTCTGCTCCTTCATCTTGGTCTTTAGTCCGTTTTAGCTGCAGCCAGCAGGGGCTGCCTGTCATCACCGCGCACAGGCTTCTCTTGTGGAGCACAGGCCCCAGCATGTGGGCTCCGCAGCCGCGGCACACGGGCTTAGTTACCCTGAAGCATAGGAAATCTTCCCAGACCAGGGATCGAACCCCTGTCCTCTGTATAAGTCGGCAGATTCTTAACCGCTGGACCACCAGTGGTTAAGTCCTTGACTTTATTTTTGAATATATGTGTATGTGTGAGAAAAATTTCCAACTTCATTCTTTTACATGTAGTGCACCAGTTATTGAAGACACTGTCTTTTCTCCATTGTATATTCTTGCCTCCTTTGTGGTAGCTTAATTGACCATAATAAGTATGTGGTTTTTATTTCTGGGCTCTCTGTTCCATTGATCTATTATTATATGTCTTTTTTTTGTGTGTGCCAGCACCACACTGTTTTGATTATTGTAGCTTTGTAGTGCAGTATCAAGTCAGTAAGCATGATTCCTCCAGCTCCTTATTCTTTCTTCAGATTGTTTTGACTATGCAGGATCTTTCTTGTCTCTGTACGAATTTTAAAATGATTTGTTCCAGTCCTGTGAAAAATGCCATTGCTATTTAGATAGAGATGGAATTGAATCTGTAGATTGCCTTGGGTGGTATAGTCATTTTAACTGTATTGATTCTTCGAGTCTGAGAACATGCTGTATCTTTCCATCTGTTTGTGTTGTCTTCAATTTCTTTCATTAGTGTCATAAAGTTTTCCAAGTATAGGTCTTTTACCTCCTTAGGTAAGTTTATTCCTAGTATTTTGTTATTTTTTATGCAGTGGTAAACGGGATGTTTCCTTAATTTCTCTTTTTGATAGTTTGTTGTTAGTGCATAGAAATGCAACAGATTTCTATATATACTTTTGTATCCTGAAGTGTTACCAACTTCATTAGTGAGCTCCAGTAGTTTTCTGGTGGTCTCTTTAGGAATTTCTATGTATATCATGTTATCTATAAACAGTGATCGTTTACTTCTTCCTTTCCAATTTGTATTCCTTTCATTTCTTTTCCTTGTCTGGTTGCTGTGGCTAGGACTTCCAATACTAAGTTGAATAAAAGTGGTGAGAGTGGGCCTCCTTGTCTTATTCCTGATCTTAGAGAAAATGCAAAAATCCTCAACAAAATAGTAACTAACTGAATCCAAATATACACTAAGAGGATCATATACCATCATCAAGCGGGATTTACCTCAGGGATGAAGGATTTTTCAGTATTTGCAAATCAATCAATGTGATATCCTCATTTACAAATTGAAGAATAAAAACCATATCTCAATAGATGCAGGAAAAGGCTTTTGAGAAAATCCAACATCCACTTATGATAAGAATTCTCCAGAAAGAGGTCACAGAGGGACCCTACCTGAACATAATCAAGTCCATGTATGACAGACCCACAGCTAACATCAGACCTAGTGATGAAAAGCTGAGAGGCCTTCCTCTCAGATGGGAAGTGTTCACGTGCTTGTCTTCCTGCCAGATGTAACCTCCTCGAGGATAGTGTAGCTGTCTTTCTGTGTCCCGGGTGGATTGGTCCCAGGGTGCCCTTGGATTGTCAAGATCTGTGGGCGCTGAAGTCCCTTGTATAATGTGGCAGAGCATTTGCATATAACCTGCCTACATCTATCTTATACTTTATTTATTTAAAAATTTTTGTCTGTTAGCTCTCCGGTTTTTCAGGTGCACTTTACCTTCGGTTTGTAGAACTGCTTTCCTGTGAAATAGTGATTCGAAAAGTGATAAAGACAGAGTGAAGATGCAGGGAAATAATGTGTGGGCCATGTCTATATGAGACTAAAAATTCAAGCACCCAGATGTTTTATGACTATTCAAGCTATTTTTAAATAATTTGGAAATGCAGAAGTATTTAGCATCTTGCAGAAACACACCTGGATACATGCCTATTTTTAATACCATGTCAGTGTATATGAATCGGCCATTTTGTCATCAACCAATAATAGCTTAACTGTTACTAGAAGCTTCCACATCGCTGCCTCCATTAATACCACTGTACATGGTGTCAAGACCTGAAAAGTAAAATAATAATGTGATTTGTAAAGAGCAGTGAACCCTAGGCTCTAAAGTTCTGATCAGGACCTTAAAACAGAATCCCAGCTTTGGGAAGTATTATTAACTCTCTTTCAAATATGTTTGCAAAATCTAAATAAGTTATTTTCACTGGTTCTTTGAGCACATACCTTTTTTATCCTATAGATGGTTTCTGAGATTAATTTTTAAATTATGATTTCCTCTTTAGCCCTTGGGTAATATATAGGGAGATAACTGGCAGCTGACAGGAGTCCTTTCTAAGTATATGTTGGAGCGCGAAAGATAATGATGTGAATGCCAGCCTGTGCACACACAACTGTCTTTACTCCCCTACCCCTAGAGCGGATCATGGGTTCCTCAGGGCGGCTGGGGTGATTTTCACATGCTTGTCTGAACTCTCTCATCCTTTGGGATTAGTGATGCATAGAAGCAAAATAGGGTTCTTGAGCTGCAGTGTGAAAGCTAAATGGGGAACATCAGGATCCCCCAACAGTCTTGTTTTCCTGAGTAGAAGCTCACTGGTGGTCACTGGATGCAGCTGAACCACACAAAGCAAGTAACCAAAATCAGAATCCAACTCAGCCGAAAACTCGGGAGGCTAAAAGAAAGGCCTCGAATTGGTTAGAAGGTCTTAGAAATTTCCCTTCCGAGCCCCAAAGTTGCGTGAGGCCAAAGTGTATAGGGCTTTTACTTTATGTGACTATTTATTTATTAATTTGATACTCTAGCAAAGCTTTTCAGAGTGGGCGGGGGGGGGGAAATAGTTACACAAGTTATTTCTGACTTTGCCTCTGGCTACATTTCTCATGACTGGTACCATTACAAAAGACATGCTGTTGAGTTCTCTTTTTCACTCACTATAATACTTTCTGTTCTTTGGAGGTTATTAAAAATGGATAAAATGAATTAATTTCTACCTTTGTAAAAAATGTGTCAGTATCTGTAAAGTTGATCTGACACCAGAGTGTGTGTGCTCTTTTCAAAAAGGCGAGTCCTCCAGATGGGTGTTTACAACTGCCCGCTTTTTAACAACCTGGGGCTCTGTTGCTTCTACGCCCAGCAGTACGATATGACTCTGACCTCGTTTGAACGTGCCCTTTCTCTGGCTGAAGATGAAGAAGAGGTAGCTGCCGTCTGGTACAACTTGGGACATATTGCTGTGGTACGTTGTTTCCCTGTTATAGTTTCTGTTCTAGGAAAGGTAGCCACATGTTAGTCTTGAAGAAGTTTTCACGTACTGGAAATCCAGGTTTGGTTCCAGTCCTTGTACCAATTTAGAGATTGCTGGGACTCACCCAAACTTGTTTTACATCCCCAGGTTAATCCCCTTAGATACAGGCCACACCCCACTCCATGTCGGGGTGTGTCATTTTCTCTGCGGTGGCAGGAGAGGTGTGTGTGGGGCGAGGAGGTCAGAGGCGGCAGGAGGAAGTGGCGGGATTTGTGTGTGCAGCTTGCGCTCTTCTCTTACAGGGGGTAGGGGACATGAACCTGGCCCACCAGTGCTTCCGGCTGGCTCTGGTGAGCGACAACAACTTTGCGGAGGCCTACAACAACCTGGCAGTGCTGGAGATGCGGAGGGGCCACGTGGAACAGGTCGGTTAGCCCTGCGGGCCACGGACAGCCTGCTCGCTTCCCAGAGCAGCTGCTGTGTGCAGCCGTTTTCACACGTGACAGTTTCAAAGCGAGCTCTGGGGTCTGACTGCTGGGGTTTGAGTCCCAGTATTGGCAGCGTGACCTTGGACGAGTCACTGAACCTTTCAGTGTCCAAAACAGAACGCTCGAGTTTATTAGGGCAAAACTGCACTTCCCCAGTCTAATCTTTCCACCATTCACAGCCCCCACCCCCCATCTGCCACCCTGCTACTCAGGCCTGCATCCTAGGACCACCCGCCCTACATGTCCTAGGACCCCCTCCCACAGCCCCCCCGAGACTTCTCTTTTCCAGCTGCCCCTTCCCTGCCAGCCCATGCCTCTAGTGAGCCCCCACGGTGCCACGCACGCATCCTCAGCTCTCTGCCCCTCGCCCGCTCCTCCAGGCCGCTGTCGCCTCCCGCCTGGATGTGTACAAGAGTGTCTTTGTCTCCACTCCCATCAGCAAGGAAGTGCACCCTGTAACATATTTTCCTCAGCTCAGCTTTAAGGGTATGCTTTAAACAACAAGGTTATTTCATCACTGCTTTGCTTAGCATCCTCCAAAGGTTCCTCCCTGCCCTCGGAATACGTGAATAGTTCGAACTTCAAACCTTAGCCTTCAGGGCCCCACATTGTCTGGCCTCTGGGACCCCCTGAGACCACGCTCTGCCACCAGGCTGCTGGCTGCTGGGCAGGCCCGTTCCTACTGTGGGGCCTTTGGGATAGACTCCTTTCAGATCCCAGAGGGACCCTTTTCTTGTTACCATTCGGGTCTTCGCTTAATTACCACCTCTTCAGAAAGACCCGCTTGACTGTCAGTCTACAGGAGCCCTCGGTATCATCCCCTAGTACTTTCTCCTTCACAGTGCTTGTCATTTTATCAGATGTTTCCAGTCTCTGCGTGTGGGATACACAATGCTGGCTGTGTGACAGCAGGGACCTTCTCTGTCTTCTGACTGCTGTATTTTCAACATCAGAACCACTGCTTGGCACTAGGGAGGTGCTTAGTGTGGGTAGAACGAGCAGATGATAAATAAAATAGTCATCACAGCAGCTGACCTGAAGGGCTTCTGGGGAAGGCGAGCCTCTTGTGCATGTAAAGCACTTGGAATAGTAAAGTCACATGGTAGATGCTTAATAAGTTATATTTTGTCACCATTTACCTACTGGGAAGTTTAAAATGCTAACTACGCTCATACTGTATTAATGACATTCAAGATAAATAGCTGCTCCATTCCCTCTGCCAGAGATGATGAAACAGGCTAGAGAGGGTGAGTGACTGACCGAGGTCACAGGCCCGGCGCGCAGCACGCCGGGACGTTGACCTCCATCCTGGTCTCTGAAGCGTGTTGCTAAGCCTGAGAAAACAGGCAGAGAGACATCAGTGGACGCTGCCATCCTTTCACAAAACTTTCCCAAAGTAAATAGAATGGCTGTGTATTCTGTAAACAAAAGCTAACTGCTCTAAAGTGGGAACTTGTTCTGTCATGGAACTTTGTATCCATCTGAAGCAAATGCTTTTTATGATTTTCTCTGTTTCCTTGTTAGTGATTTTCCCTCCTACTTATTGTAGTTTCTATGGTATGCAATTGATTTGAAATGTTTCGGTTAAAGGTTTCACTATTATTAAAAATTATACTTCAGTGCCTCTGGAGAAGGACGTGGCAACCCACTCCAGTATCCTTGCCTGGAAAATTCCATGGACAGAGGAGCCTGGTCGGCTGTGGTCCGTGGTGTCTCGAAGAGTCGGACACGACTGGGCACATACACACATACTTCAATTAAAGGAAACCAGCAAATCATAAAATTAATATCTGCCATCTTATATAAACTATTATTTTCCTTTAAAAAAAGATTGAAGGATCTGTCCTCAGGGTCATGCATAGAAGTTTAGCCACAAGTCGGAAGGCTGTTTCGGCAGCTTAGGAGCGCCGAGTTTGTGGTCCTGACAGCGAGCGTACAGGCTCCTCACGTCGCTTGGTGGTCTCTACAACGAGGGAGCCTTTGCGCCTGTAGGCGACAAAACACGCTGTGAGTTTCGTCCTTTGAGTGCTTTAGAGAACGGAAGGCTTGTCATTTTCAGTTGCCTTCAGTTGTCATTTTCAGGTCAGTGGTATAATAAATACTTGCTCATTGTCGTCCAGCACAGAACGTGGGATCTGAATTTGTGGTGGTTTTTTAATGGCTTTGGTTGTTGCATTAGAGGAGGTAATTGAAAGCCTACTAAATCAGTCAACAGCAACAAAAACTAGATTGACAAACACTTTTTTTTTTAGCATTAAAAGGACCATATTTTGAGTTGTACATCATATTGAAATGTAAATTATAAGAACAGTGGTTCTCACATAAGTTGTCAATTCTATTCTTTTCTCCATATTTTGAAGCATTTTATTTGTAATATAACTTTGACAAGATATAAGGAGTTAATTGTATATCTATAAATTGTATTTCACAGAAATTCATCCATATTTATCACAGAATCATGTTTTTTAAAGTCCTTTCATGGGTAAAGTTTTCTTCTACCAAAAAAAAATCACCAATATAGTGCTAATATATGCTCATATGCCTTTGGTCTCTCTTTCCTTTTTTTCTTTTCTAAACAGGCAAAAGCACTGTTACAAACTGCATCATCTTTAATACCCAATTTGTACGAGCCACATTATAATTTTGCAACAATTTCTGATCAGGTATTCTCTCTCTTTATCAATTTATCGTCTGACCTATTTGTTTTCTTCTTTTGTGTGTGTGTGTGTTTTCTTCCCTGGTTTTAAAAATTGTACAGATAAATAAGGACATTCTAACCGTAACTTCCTAAGAGAAATGATTTTTTAAACACTTGATTATTATGTACACATATGTCTTCATTTTAAGGGAATGTTTAATACACTTTAAGTATATTTATCACTGAATATTAGTTAAGCTTAGTACCACTATGGATTGCAGAAGAATTATTTTATGTTTTAGAAGATGACATTTAATCATTGAAAAACTGCTCATTAACTCCTGGTTTGGGGAGGATTTAGTAATTAGTGTTTATTACAGGGAAATCCTGTGTACCATTTGTAGGTCATATAGTCACCAGGTCTAGCATGATGCTATAAAATTAGGGATATTAGTGAAAGCTCTTTCAGCAACTGCTGATACTGTTACAAGTCAGTTAACATCTAAGAGCTAAAGGAAACCGTGTGTCCTTTTATGATAAGAAGAAAGAAAGAAAAGTCATCTAATAACTTTTATTTTCAAGCCTTCCTTTAACATGGAAGATGAATTTTGAGGATAAGGAAATGGCTAAAAATGTTTGCTGATGTGAAGACTCTTTCTTTATAGACCCAAAAAGTTATAGAAATCATTTTCCATAACTTGAATGTGAGCTCATTCACTCTGTTTTCTGTTTTGAAGATAAAATATGCTATTTTTCATAAATTGTCATTTTTGACTGCTTGTTAAGTACTCTTGTTAGGTACTCTCCACACCTCTAATTCTCTCAACCCTGCAATGTAGGTAACCCTTACCTTCCCTACGCATTCTTTCATTCCACTGCTGTTCCATTTGTTGAGCTTGTATGAACAACTGGTGCATACCAGGTGCTGTTGTAGGCACAGAAGATAGCAGTGAATAAACCAGGCAGAAACCTCTGCGTCATGCAGCTTACGTCCTAATGGAAGCCAAGGCTTCGGAGCTTAGAAGACTTGTCTGCAGCTCCGTGGCAGTGGCGGACTCAGGATTCACACCCAGCTCCCACATGTTTCCCAACGCACTGTGCTTCCACTGGGGCTTCCCTGGCGGCTCCGACGGCACAGAATCAGCCTGCGATGCAGGAGACCCAGGTTCAATCCCTGGGTCGGGAAAATCCCCTGGAGGAGGGAATGGCTACCCACTCCAGTACTCTTGCCTGGAAAATTCCATGGACAGAGGAGCCTGGCGGGCTTCAGTCCGTGGGGCCGCCAAGAGTCGAGCGTGCCTGAGCAGCTAAGCATGCACGCACATGCTGCCCGTTAGTTAAACCACAGAGAAGCCTTGATTACTTTCAGGAGTGTGGTTAAATTTTAATGATATTTAATGCAAATGGAATATATCTGTCAGCAGAAGTCTACACTTCAATAAGAGGAGCTACTATGTTAAAAAGAAATGCTGTGATTTAAAAAAGAAAAGTTTTTAGTTCATAGGTGTGTTACCAAAAAACTACAGAAGTGAATGATCTGTATTTTTTGTTTGTGTGTGCACACACTGCAAAGCTCTCTTTATAGAAGTGTATACATGAACCGAGGTACATTCAGCTGGATTCAATACTGCGTGTGTTTTTCTTTGGGACTGGAAATTAGCAAAAAGTTTATTGAAAATCAGAGATACCCTTTATGAATTTTAAAAACTGGATATCTTCCCAACATTATTATGCTGCTGCTGCTGCTNTAATGGAGCAGAAATTATTTACATGATTGGTTATTTTTTTCATACTTTTTCAAGGCTGAATTGTAATCTAGGTGAAAAAATTTTTATATCAAAGTAACGCAATCAAGCAATTTACCTTGGGTTTTTACATTTTGCAGATACTATGTTTTGCTTGTTTTTTAAATTCATTTCTTGTTTTTTCTGGTTCTCATTCTATGGTCTTATTCTGGCCTGCTATTCCTTACAGATTGGAGATCTACAGAGGAGTTATACTGCTGCTCAGAAGTCTGCGGCAGCATTTCCAGCTCACATGGACACGAAACGCTTAATTGAGCAGTTAAAGCAGCATTTTGCTGTGCTCTGATTTTTCCTCAGTTAAATGTAATTCCTATATATGTACTTAGGGAAAAAGTAGTATATTTGTAATACAAACCTGTGCTTGATATTAGTGAAGGTGACGTAAAGGGATTTAAACACCAGAATGTTTAAAACTGTATAATAATAACTTAATAAGATAACATCATTTTTAAAAGACAAGATTTTAATCATTTGTAAGCAGATCGTGACCTCCTCCACAGTATATAGTACATGTTTGTTTACAATGTTTACAAAACATTTTCATGAATTTCTTCAAATTGTTAAAAATGCACATTGTTAATGTCCTTTAGTCGGCCATTAGCTAGCATGTAGCTTAAGAGGTATGAAATCTGCCTTTACAGTCGCACTTTTATGGCAAAAAATTATATACTTACCCTTGGTACAGACTTTAGAAGTTAAAGGTTGTATTTAAAGCTATTTTTTATGAAACGCTTTGTGAGACATTCGACATTTTCTTATATATTATGCTTTAAATAAATGTGTATAAAACACCATCCTTCTGTTACTTTTCATGAGTTTTAGTTTCAGTCATCTCAGATGAAACACGTTTTCCAGAAGTCCAGAAATGAAGTCTTAGAAATCAAATCATTATCCTAATTTTATTTTAAATAATGTATCGTCAATTTTGCTTTTTCCTGAGAAGCAATTTATGGGGTATCATGTTGTTAGTCTAAGAATATCAGGACTAGGAGTGGAGTCATAAGCCCCAAGTCCCGCCTAGTCAGCCCCGAAAAGGTTGGGGGGGGGTCCAGTACCATGAGTGGTAACGTCCTAGGAAGGCTCTGCTCTCCAGCGTTCGTGGAACTCTCACTGACGGCCTCTCACAAGGAAGTGCGTTCAAGGGGCGGGCCGCTCACGGTCCAGCTTTGGCCTGTGAGATCTGTCCATGGTACTTCCCATTTTTAAACTTTGTGAAAACCATTTCATGGGTATTTGTTTCTGATGATATAAATTGTACTGCTTAGCTGATGGAACACAGAGGTGTGAATGCAGAGCATGAGACTGTTAGAGGCTGGAAGTAACTTCAGAGAATATGTCGAATCTCACCGCGGGGAGGAGGCCAGGCCCCGACTCACACCTGCCCCGGCCCTTCAGGCTGGAACCTCTGTTGGTTGTCCATGAGAGGCTACCGCTTGTTTGGTTCGCAAGAAATTCCTCAAGCACTGTCAAATTTCCTAACTCAATTCAGTATTTAAGTTCAAATTTTACATTATGAATTGTTTTCTTAGTTAATTTAGAATAACAACTGGTAACAGTGGCTAGCATTTACCGAGGATGTTGTGTGTACGAAGCACTGCTCAAGCCCTGGGTAAGGAGTGACATTTCATCCCCATTGCAGTCCTGTGAAACGCTGTTATTCCCATTTTTCTTGTGAGAAAAATGAAGTGCAGAGCAATCAAATAGCTTGCCCAAGTTGTCAAGCTCAGTAAGTGGCAGAACTGGGATTCAAATGCACATTTACTCCGGTGGTTAAGAACACATAACGTGGGAGCCAGGTGCACATTATTTATAAAGAAATGGTATAAGGTAGACTGCAGACTTCTGTGCGGACTCTGATTATGTGTTTTTAACTACCGTGTCAAATCTCTTAGAGTGTCTCTTCTGTAAATAAAGCTATCATTTAAAATGACTGTTATATGCATTAGTAAAATTGAATAATAAGGGGATATTAACCACTGTGATGAACAGTATTGCATAGGAACCTGAAATGTTAGGTCCATGAATCAAGCTAAATTGGAAGTTATCAAGCAGGAGATGGTGAGAATAAACATTGACATCTTAGGAATCAGTGAACTAAAATGGACAGGAACGGGCGAATTTAACTTAGATGACCACTATACCTACTACTGTGGGCAGGAATCCCAGAGAAGAAATGGAGTAGCCCTCATAATGAGCAGAAGAGTCTGAAATGCAGTAGTTGGGGGCAACCTCAAAGATGACAGAATGATCTCAGTTCATTTCCAAGGCAAGTCATTCAGCATTACAGTAACCCAAGTCTATGTCCCTACCACCGATGCCGAAGAAACTGGAGTTAACCAGTTCTGTGAAGACCTAGAAGACCTCCTGGAACTAACACCAAAAATAGATGTTTTGTTCATCACTGGGGACTGGAATGCAAAAGTAGGAAGTCAAGAGATACCTGGAGTAACAAGCAAGTTTGGCCTTGGAGAAGAAAATGAAGCCGAGCAAAGGCTAGCTGAATCTGCCAAAAGAATGCATTGGTCATAGAAAATACACTTTTTAAACAACACAAGAGAAGACTTTACACACTGACATCACCAAATGGCCAATCCCGAAATCAATTTGTTTACATTCTTCATAGCCGAAGATGGAGAGGTTGTTTACAGTCAGCAGAAACAAGATCTGGAACTGACTGTGACTCAGATCATCAGCCTCTCATAGCAAAATTAGGGCTTAAACTAAAGAAAGTGGGGGAAACCACTATGTCAGCCAAGTACAACTTAAATCTATGAATATGCAGTGAAGGTAACGAATAGATTAAAGGAATTAGAACTTGTAAACACTGTGCCTGAAGATCTGTGGAGGGAGGGCTGTAGTATTGTACAGGAGGCAGTGAACAAAACCATCCCAAAGAGAAAAGAAAAGCAGGAAGGTAAGGTGGTTATCTGAGGAGGCCTTACAAACAGCTAAAAAAAGAAGAGAACCAAAAAGCAAGGGAGGAAGGGAAAGATATAGCCAACCAAATGCAGATTTCCAAAGGACAGCAGGGAGATACAAGAAGGCCTTCTTCAATGACCTGCGTGTAAAACTAGAAGAAGAAAACAGAGGGGGAGAGACTAGAGCTCTCTTCAGGAAAACTGGAGACACCAAGGCCACATTTTGCCTGAAGATGGGCACAATAGAGGACATAAAATGTAGAGACCTGGTAGACACTGAAGAGATCAAGAAGAGATGGAAAGAATACATGGAAGAACTGTATGAAAACATCCAGATGAACCGATGACTATGAGGATGTGGTCAGCCACCCAGAGCCAGACATTCTGGAGAGTGACGTTAAGTGGGCCTTAGGAAGCCCTACTGTTAATAAAGCTAGTGGATGCAGTGGAATTCCAGTAGAACTATTCAGAATCTTAAAGGATGATGCCATCAAGGTGTTGCATTCAATATGTGAGCAAATCTGGAAGATCCAGTAGTGGCCTCAGGACTGGAAAAGGTCAATCCTCATCCCGGTTCCCAAGAATGGTGGTACTAAAGAATGTGCTGACCATCGGACCGTTGCACTCATCTCCCGTGCTAGTAAGGTCACACTTAAAATCTTGCACGCTAGACTTTAGCTATGTGGACCGAGAACTTCCAGATGTCCAAGCTGGAGTTAGAAAAGGAAGAGGAACCAGAGATCGAATTGCCAACATTCACTGGATCATAGAGAAAGCTAGGGAATTCCAGAAAAGCATCTACTTCTGTTTCATTGACTACATCAAGGCCTTTGAGCGTGTGGATCAGAATAAACTGTGGAAAGCTGTTAAAGAGATGGGAATACCAGACCATCTACATGTCTCTTGAGAAACCAAATGCAGGTCAAGAAGCAACAGTTAGAACCCTGTATAGAACAACTGATTGGTTCGAGATTGAGAAAGGAGTCCAACAGGGCTGTCTGCTGTCACCCTGTTTGTTTAACCTATACACGGAGCACGTCATGAGAAATGCAGGGCTGGATGAGTTGCAAGTTGGAATCAAGACTGCTGGGAGAAACATCAACAACCTCAGATATGCGGATGATACGACTCTAATGGCAGAGAGTGAAGAGGAACTAAAGAGTCTCTTGATGAGGGTGAAGCAGAAGCGTGAAAGAGCGGGCTTAAAACTAAGTATTAAAAAACCTAAGATCATGGCATCCAGCACCATTACTGCATGGCAAACAGAGGGGGGAAATGCGGAAGTAGTGACAGATTTCCTCTTCTCGAGCTCCAAAATCACTGCAGATGCTGACTGCAGCCCTGAAATCGAAGACAACTGCTTCTTGGCAGGAAAGCTGTGACAAACCTAGACAATGTGTTGAAAAGCAGAGACATGACTCCAGTGGCAAACGTCTGTATAGTCAAGGCATGATCTTCCCAGTGGTCACGTACAGTTGTGAGAGCTGGGCCGTAAAGAAGGCAGAGGGCCAAAGAATTGATGCCTTCGAACTGTGGTGCTAGAGAAGACTCCTGAGAGTCTCTTGGACTGCAGAGATCCAACCAGTCAATCTTAAGGGAGATCAACCCTGAATACTCATTGGAAGGACTGGTGATGAAGCTGAAACTCCAGTATTTTGGTTTTTGGATGCGAACAGCTGACTCATTGGAAAAGTCCCTAATGCTGGGAAAAATTGAGGGCAGAAGGAGAAGGCATCAGAGGATGAGATGGCTGGGTGGCATCACCGATGCAATGGACATGAACTTGGGCAAACTTTGGGAGACAGTGACGGACAGAGAGGCCTGGCATGCTGCAGTCCATGGGGTCACAAAGAGACACGACTGGGTGACTGAACAACAAATTAACACAGCAAAAAAAATGAATGTGTCAGTATTCCTGAAGTGATACAGAGAGATTTTTTTGTCTTGAATTTATGTTAATTCAATGTGAACACCAGTGCAAAGAATGACTCAGGATGGCTAAGGGCAGAATGATGACATAACACTGCATCAGGGGTTACATACATCTTTGTAACAAAATTACCTCTGGCTGCATAACTTCTGGCTTCTGTGCCAACACTGCTATATAAGGAAGGTTAACAACTGTCCTCTACCATGATGAAAAACGTGTCCAATCCATATATAAACTGTTCAGTCAAAATTAACATTATTGAGCTTCCAGCTGATGAAAATGAGATATGGCAAGAAGACTGCCTGTCCTGCATGACTGCTGAAGTTAAATGTCCTTCCTTTCCAAGGGGGTCACATCTGAGCCAGTCCCTGTGGTACTGCTGCTCTGTTATATTTCTAAATGGTGTTCTGCAGGATCAGAGCACCCATCAGGATATAATTTATGGCTTAGAGATAGGAAGATTAATAAAGATCGCACATTACTTTTAATGTACCACCAACTCTTTATTAAAATGAGGGATTTCTATTAAGAGCGTTCAACTGGGATTGATTTTAAGCATTCAGAAAAACAGCAAAGATTTTAGAACTAGTGCAAGAGGACTCAACCTTGGAAAAAAATGAATGCAGAAATTAGGGAAAATGCCACTATTGGATAGTTTCAAATTCTAGGGAACAGGTGAATTGAAATGGTCCATGGAGATGTTCCAGAGTTCCAGAATGGTTGCCTAGGCTCAGATATTAGGGGGAAAGTTTATCAATTTGAAAATAACTGCAGTTTTCATCCTTCCGTGTTGACAGCATTAATCCTATTTTTGGCTGACTAAAAATTTAATGTTTTTGAGAGATGCTGCCATTTCACTTCCTTGATATTAAAGCCCAACTCTTGAGATTAAAGAATAAGGACTAAAGATGAAATAATAATCCTTAAGAACTCAGCTGATAATCTG